TTTTCTGGTTAAGAAGCTCACACCTACGCACTAGAAAAAAAAAATTCTTTCCAGAAACATTCCTCCAACAAATCTTTACAACAACTGCCAGCTGCCAGGCATTGCTCTAAGTGCCGTGTACAGTCATGAAGGAAACGGCTCCCCGTAGACCGGGGATCAGCAACTGTGGCCTGGGGGCCCAATCTAGCCAGCCGCCTACTTTATAAATAAAGTTTTATTGGAACACGGTCATGCGGATTCACTTACCTATTAGCCCGGGCTACTTTCCAGTTAGCAATGGCAGAGTTGAGTAACTCGGACAGACACTGTACGGTCCACAAAGCCAAAAGTCTTTACTATCCCGCCCTTTCTGGAAAGTTTGCTAAGCTCTGGTGTAGATTAACAAATAAGAGCCCTCTTCTGACTTGTTCTTAATGCATGGCATGTACAATACAATACTACTAGGACGCATGATTTAATCAGTTCTATTTAATTTTATCATCTGGTTATATTGGGATATAAAATTATAAGTGTGTAAATAAAATACCCATAAAAAGGCAACCTGCTGTCTCACTACACACAGCAGGCCTGTTAACCATTTGCCATGGAATCTTCCAGATGTTTTTCTTTGCATATACTCGCATTTATGTGTTTATTTTTACAATGCTGGTATCACAACACACATTGCTTTGCTACCTTTTTAATATTTTTTTTTTATGTTTGCTAGCGTATGGCAAACATCTTTCAGTGATGGTAGGTAAATATCCTTTCTGAACCTCGTTTACCTTGGCTGCGCTTTATCCATTGTGCGAATACTGAGTTTCACCCGTCTCCCTCCACTGAACCCCTAGGTTGTTTGCAGTGTTTTGCAATGACAGCTAATCCTGCAGGGTGGTGCCCGTGTTCATATATCTTGACAAGTGAGTGCGTCTGATGATTTCATTGAGATAAAGTGTTCGCACTCAAGTTACTGAGTTAAGGGTGTGTGCGTTTTAAATTTCAGAACATGTGCATTGGCGTGTTTTTCACACGGCCCTTAGAGGAGCGTGTTAGCCTGGTGTCCCCGGCGTGGACATCGGAGAGCCGCCGGCCCGGGGCCAGGCTGGGCCAGTCCTCTTTGCCTGCAAGACAAGAGCCCGGAGTTTTCTCTCACCAGTGGCTCTGGGGCTCGCGGAGCTAGTCCGAGCAAGCAGTTTTCAAACCTGCCAAGTTCTTAAGGTTTTCTTAAGAGCATTTTTTTTACGTGCATTTCCTCCTCGCAGCTTCCTGGAGCATTGGCAAGAAGGTGGTGTGGGTGGCGTGTTGGTGGCTGCAAGGAGCCTGGGGTCCAGCCCCCGGCACCGCCTCCCACACGCCAGGAGAAGTAAGAGCCCCGTAGCTGTCCCCGTCTCTGGGCTTCCGTTTCCCCCTCTGAACAAGAAGGGCCGACTGAATGGACTCAGAGGGTCCTTCCAGGCCTAAATCACAGAATTCGGTTAACCCCCTTTGACCAGTGACAAAACTGAGGTATGCACTGGGGACATTGATAAATGGGGACCAACTGGGACACAGCTCTTCCGTCTGCCTTTTAACTTGCCATGTGTATCTCAGGCTCCGTGCTGGACATCTGCTTGCCCCACAGTCAGTCAGGGATTTCACAGCAGCCGAAAAAGGGGAAGAACGTCCTGCCTTCCAGCGAATAAAACAATCCGACCCTTAGAAAGTTTTACAAGAGTCTGGTTTCGAACTCCTGACCTCGAGCAATCCGCCCGCCTCGGCCTCCCAGAGTGCTAGGATTACAGGCGTGAGCCACCGCGCCCGGCCTCAGATGTTTTTTTTTGTTGTTGTTGTTGTTGTTAGTAGAGACCAGGTCTTGCTATGCTGCTCAGGCTGGTCTTTTAAAAACAATTTTTTTAATATCAAAATATTAAGGGGTTACAAATGTTTTTGTTACATAGATACCCGTGTATAATGCTTAAGTCAGGGCTTTAGGCGTGTCTGTCACTAAAATAGTAATAGTGCTCATTGTACCCAATAGGTAAGTTTCTATCCCTCACCCCCGTCTCTCCCCTTCTTGGTCACTTTGTGCCTGCACTTGAGCAAGAGCGAGACCCTGTCTCTACTATAAATAGAAAGGAATTAATTGGCCAACTAATGTACACAGAAAAAATTAGCCGGGCGTGGTGGCTCATGCCTGTAGTCCCAGCTACTTGGGAGGCTGAGGCAGGAGGATCGCTTGAGCCCAGGAGTCTGAGGTTGCTGTGAGCTAGGCTGACGCCACGGCACTCACTCTAGCCTGGGCAACAAAATGAGACTGTCTCAAAAAAAAAAAAAAAAAAGCATCTGAAAGTGCACTTGAATGACCGCTTCCATTCCCGGGTCTCGGGGAGAATTCCTCAAGGGCGTCATGCCTCTGAGCGTGGCAGGTGACCTTTCGAGGCACAAACATAAACGCGACCCTAGAGGGGGTCTGACTCCGTCCCTACAGCGTGCCAACAGCGTCCCCGTGCTACGCCGCGCACCTGCAGCGTGGGCAGCCTGTCCCGAGTCTGGCTGGATCATCAGGTGCCAAAGCCTGAGAGAGGTGCTACATGTGACCCGGCGATTCCATACTTAGGCATTTCTCTGATGGGAATAGTCTCAGGATGTTTATCATATTGTTGGTTATGGCAGTGAAAAAATAATGAGCAGCCTAAAAGCCCCAGCACTTGGGGACTGGTTGATTGAATGATGCTGCATTCGCTGTGGAATAGTCTTCAGCCATTGAAGATGACGATGCAGAGGAGGTCACTCGGAAAGTTCTGGATGGGACTATGCAAGCACGTTGTCTTGGGGTGATGAGTTATTTTAAAATGTATTCTTTGTGATTTTCTGGAACTCCTGAATGTTTTGCGATGAGCACGTATTCCTTTGGTAGCTGGAGAAAGACCAGGCTCTACGGGCAGTGGAATGAGGTGTTTGGGCCGGCAGATGCTATGAGGGTCTGTGAGTGTGGCCGTTTATCAGAGGCGACCTGGGGGTTGGTTCTGAATTCCTGTCCTTGCATGCACCTCACCGGCAGCATTCCCAGGAACATGATGGGGTGCACGAGTATCCCCAAAAGGCAAGAGGGAGAGCATGGGAAGGAAATGAGCGTTTCTTGGGTGTTTCCTGAATGCCAGGCCCTATCCTAGGAGCTGTCACCTGGGACGTCTCGTTTGGCATCTGGGCCCCTGGGGTGACCACCATTTATTTCCTCACCGAATCCTTGTAACTTCTCTGCAACTCAGAGAGGGGCGTGGTGTCCCCGAGGTCACACAGCACGGCATTCCCAGGCACTCGCTCATTCTGCCGGGCCACATATGCTTACTCGGCTAAGGATGGTTCCGAGGAAGCGGAAAAGAGGCCGCTCCCCTCCCGGGGAAGGACGTAGATCGCTGAGGACCAGCCAGCTCACCTCCTCCGATTAGGTGCCTGCTGTGTGCAGCCAGGCCCCAAGGGGACAAAGGTGCTGGAGCCCCCAGTCTTAACGGGCACCTCTGCCCAGCTGCAGAGACCCGCCCCCCACCCCCAACTCCCGGTTCTCCACTGCCCAGCACACAGTAGGTGCTCAATAGATATCTGTTGAGTAAATGACTTACATGTCCCACTTTGCCCGGTACGATTGATAGGTGATCCAGGGTGTGCAGCGAGAAGTTTAGGGGCGCAGTGGTCGCCATGGGCTGCAATAACGCCGGCCAAGTTGGGCGGATGGGGAGGTGGAACAGCACCAGCGGAGCCCCCGAGGCCGGGAACCTGTGGGCTCATGTGGGACGCGGCGTGTAGGAGGTCGGGGGAAGTAAGGTAGGGAGTTTGTTTGGAGCAAGAGCAGGGAATGGGACGGGACAGAAAATTTGGGGCTCCGTTGCAAGGGGCCTTGGAGTTTCTGTAGGAGGACAGCAGGGAGCCCTTGAGGGTTTTTGAGCAGGGGATGAACGATCTGAAGCACATCCCAGCAGAATATGCCTCCTGACCTCAAATGGAACGTGTGGGGTGAAGGTGGCCCTGTCGGTCTCTCGGGATTTGGAGGCAAGGTCGCTCTTGCCCCCTTATCCTCACCTCCACATTCCTCATCAAAAAGATGGTGACCGAGAGCATCACTCGAAGCTCAGGCAGCCAGGCCATCTGAACCGTCACCGTGCCGGTAGCCTAGACAAGGGACTGGCGTTTGGTCTCGCCTGGGGAGCTCTGGCTTCCCCCCTCGCGGTAAAGCCGGGGCCTAAGTGGCAGCCAGTTCAACGGCCCCACTGCTAGGGGTAGGCTTTTAATGTGCCAAGCGGACAAAGCAGGGAAGCGGCAGTTCTCTTGTTTCGTGCAGACTGATGGCCTTGGCCCCGCGTCCCGCTCTGTGGTAGCCAGCGCCCTTGCTCCCTGCCCGCCCCCTCGGAGGGTCCAGGCCAAGGACAGAGACCAGCAACTGACCAGGCGGCAGCAGACCAAGGGGTTGATGCTGCCTGGGGCACAGTGGCCTGGGCTTGGGGTGCAAGACGCCCGACTGGGCTTGAATTCCACTTTGCCATTTCCTGGCTGTTTGAGCACGTCGCTTTGCCTCCTTAAGCCTCAGTGTTCTCATCTGTAAAATGGGGATTGTAATAAAACCTGCTCTGTAGGCGGGTCGAGGGGCTGCTGTTCAGCAAGGGGGTCTGATGTCAGAGCTCTGCCTGGTGCCTGGCCCAAGTCCCGTGCAGCGCGGGCCGTGTCGGGTGGTGCTGGTGGTGGGGGGGAATGCTGCGGGGGTGGGCTCCTGGGCTGGGTGCCCTGACCCGCCCGGTGAGTCTTGGGGGCTCTCCAGGTGGGGTGGCCACCTTGTCTCAGTTCGCCCAGTCGCAGCACCTAAAGTCCTGCGTCCTGCAGCGTCTCCGGCAAACCTAGTGCTCAGCCACCACAACCGGCCCCGCCCCGAGGGCAGCAGGGAACTGGGACAGGTTTGAGCTTGGGGGCCAGGCGGTGTGCTCTGCGTCCCCCGGGACTGGGGTTCCGAGCGTGTCCCCTGATAGACTCTCCCATCTGGCTCGTCCCTGCAGGACCAGCTGAAGCAGTGCTTCTCCAGGCGGACCCCCGAGGCCAAGGACACCGACACTCTGGTGCACGAAGCTGACAGCCAGTATGGGACGTGGGCAGAGCAGCGCCACAGCAGGGACAGGTAGGACGTGCACGCGGCGGGTGGGGGCTGGGGGGGGGGCGGCCCAGCCTACGGGGACGGGCATCTGGGCCGGAGTCGATTTCTGTGCTGGTAGAAACTCTTTTGTCTGAAAATGTAAGAGGAAACCGTTCTTACTGCAAAAACAAAACAATAAAAGAAATTGAGAAAGTACAAAACAATCATAAAGAAAATAATACATGCAATATCCAGGACAGGCAAATCTGTAGAGACAGGAAGCAGACCAGGGGCTGGGCTGGAGGAGGACAGGGAGTGACTCTCGCCGGCCACCGGGTTTCCTTTGGGGTGACGGCCGTGTGCCAGGACTGCACACTGGTGGCAGCTGCACGGCACCGTGACTGCGCTAAACGCCACTGATCAGCTGTATGCTGTGTGGATTTTACCACAATAAAAAAGAAATGGTGAAGTCATCCATGATCAAATTGGGTTGAGGATGGAATCGCAAATGCATGAGAACAAATAAAAGGGAGGCGAAGGTTTCTTAAGTACCTGTGAAAACCATCTCTCCCCCAACTGTGAGACGTCAGTGTTTCATTCACGGGCTTGCATCTCACTAGAGGGCCGGAATCCCTGGCCTGGGCTTTGCGCATGTCGCCCTGTGACCCCGGAACATCCCCCTCCCCGCCCGCTCTTCCACCTGGCGGATCGCACCTGGGCGCTCCCACGGGCGGGCGCCCCCTGCTGCACGGCGGCGGCACTGCAGCCTCCCGCCCCCTCGCCGGCCAGGCGCGGTCCTGCCCCCAGCCCTGGGCAGTGCTGCCACCTGCTGCCTGCGCGGCGGCATTTTCCTGGTCCCTTGTGGAGTCGCCTGGATCCCACCCCACAACCCCCAGCGTCATCCGCGTTCCAAGTGATGGAATCATCCTGAAGCTGACAAAAGGCGTGGGGAAATGCCAGTATGGGGCTGAGAGTTCTGCTAAAGGGTGCAGTTTGGGGGCGGGGGCAGGGAGGGCCTTTCAGCATAGACTCACCTGTCAAGTGTGCCCACCTGCCCTTGTCAAGGTAAGGGTCTCCTGTGCCCGGGAGGCTTTGCTATGCTCTTCTCTTGCACTTCTTTTTTATGGGTGTGGCGGCAGGGGGGGAGTTCATGCCTTGACTTATTTATAAATTTTCTGTCTTATGTGGTTCCAATTATCAGAGTGGTCCCTGAATATATTGTCACGGGAAGAGATTGCAGAAGTAGGCAAGATCCAAGATCCACTCCTGGCTTCTGGAGTCAGGCCGCCTAAGCTCAATCCTAGTTCTGCCCCTTTCTGCGAGTTAATTCATCTCTGTGCCTCAGTTTCCTCATCTCGAACAAGGTTCCTGCTTAATTTCATGAGGTTTTCATAGTATTGCGGAGGTTATAAGATTATGAAATAATCGTCACAGGATTGTGGAGAAGGTTAGATGGCACAGTTCTTAGCACAGTGCCCGGCACATAGTAAATTAAATTGTTATTGCGTGAATGAATGGGAAAATGAAACATTGTAGGAGATTCTCCAGCCCCTCCTGTCCCGTGGGTAACTCCCGTGGGTAATCCTTCGATCTACATCAGGCTGTCATTGTCCAATAGAAATACAAAGTGATGATTTGATCGTCATACATTGTATACATGTATTGAAACAGCCCTCTGCCCCCATAAACATGTATGATTATTATGCGTCAATTACAAACAAAAAAGAGAATACAACGTGAGCTGCGTAGGCAAGACATGCATGCAATTTAAAATGTCCTAGGAGCCACACCAAAAGAGTAAAAGGAAGGAAGTGAAATTAATTTCAACGATATATTTTATTGAAGCCAGCAGATCCAGAATACCATCATTTCAACATGTAATTAACATGAAAGGTTACTCATGGAATATTTTAGATTCTTTCTTTCATTCGAAGTGTTGCGAATCCAGCGTGCACTTTATACTCAGGGCAACCTCTCCACTCTCGCCTGCCACATGGCAGTAGCCCAGCAGCCACCCGTGACAAGCCCCTCGCACATGGGACAGGGCAGGGCTAGAGGGTCTTGAATGGCACGGGGCTGACTCCCCCTATTCTGCACCTGGCTGGCCAGGTGTCGCAGGTGGTCCCGTGAACGGTGCCACCTTCTTTACTTGAGATTCTGTTCCCTGGGACGCCTCCTCGACCATGCCCCCCCCTTTCCTCTCCTCTCTCGCAGCTCGGCCGCCGAGTCCCCGGACAGCAGTGCCGCGTCGGCCCAGAGGCAGCCCCCCGGTAGCCGCTTGTCTTCTCTGTCCTCCCAAACGGAGCCCACCTCTGCGGGAGACCAGCACGACTGCCCCAGGGACCAGCGGAGCGCCAGCGTGGACCGCTCCAGCACCGACCTGGAGTCCACGGACGGGGCGGAGGGGCCTCCACCACCGGACGCCTGCCCCGCCAAGGGAGCGGACGACTTTTCCTTCATCGATGTAAGTCAATAGCTAGGCGCACGTGGCCGCGTTGGAAATAGCCATTTTGTGCTTAGAAGGAGCTCCAGCAGCTCCCAGTGAATTGCCCCTTCAGGGGGTGGGCTCTGCATTCCAGGGCCCCCGGTGGTGGGTGCAGAGGGCACCGTCTTTGAGTTGAGACTCGCTCGTGCGTGTGGCTTGACTCGCTGCTGCCGTGCACCCGCTGTGTGTCTTAGGGCACGTGTCTTCCTCTCTCGGAGCCTCCGCTTTCTTACCCGATTGTACTCAAATACAACCGAGGGTGTTCCGGTTGAGCCTGGCCTGAGCCCTCACCTGCCAGGTAAGCAGGAAGTCTGACCTCTTACCCCCGAGTGTCCTGCCTGAGGTTTGTAATTCTAAGCGTGAAGCTAGGGTTTGCTCAGGATAATTCTGAGCCCCTGCAGGGCTTCAAAGGGGATTCGATTCCTAAGTACGTCCAAGGTCTCTCACCGGCACCTCTAGATAAAGGCGGAGGCAGAGAAAGGCGCCAGCCCCGTCTTCACTGGGGCGCTCCGAGTGCCGTAGAGACACGGCCCTGGACGCACCCACCTCTCTGGGTGCCGTGACGATTTAGTTAGGTGCTGTATTCAGTTATTCATTCAGCAAACATTTTGTTGAGATCTGGCACATGCCGAGCATTGCTGTAGCTCACATGCTAGCGTGATGTCACCGCGCCATGGCACACCTTGCTGGACTTTCCTCCCGGAACACCACGCAACTCCCTCTCAGTGTGTGTCGTTAATGACAGTCGCCGAGTGTTGGCCGCAGGCCCACGCACACACACGCTAGGAACCCCTGGGGCGAAACTTCCTGTGCGTCTTGCAGATTGGGAAATCCAAGCTGTCTCTGAGTGATTGTAAAGGCCGGTGCCCCCAAGCACAGGCGTGCAGCTTATGGAAGCCGCACTGGGGTTTGTGTATGTACGATGCCAGCCATGACTCGGGGGCTGTTGGGAGCTTGGACGGGAAGGCAAGACACTGAGGAATCGGGCCCCGAGCCAGGCGAGGCTGCGAGGTGGGCCCTGTGTACATGGCACTGTCTGCCCTCCCCGAGTGTGGAGAGCCGGCTCTAGGAAGTGGCCGGAGCAGCCAGCCCGTCTCCGGCTGCAGCAGGCACTGTGTGATCTCCGTCTGTCCCCCCTCTGTCCCTCCGTCTGTCCCCCCTCTGTCCCTCTGTTTGCCCCCCTGGTCCCACACAACCCCCCCCCCCCCGCAGGATACCCTTGTGGCTGGTTTGGGAAGCAGCTGTACAAGGCTGAGCTTCCTCCGCCACCCCCAGTGGGGCAGCTGTCACTTGCCACCGCCAGGAAGTGACCCGCTAAAACGGGCCCACCGTCGCAGGCTTAGAAAGCCCTGGGTGACAGAATTTCTCCTAAAAGGACTCGAGGGGAAGGAACCAGTATGTCACGCAAGAACAGGAGGTCGCCAGCAAGAGAGAAGCCCTGTGCGGTGACAGCCCTGAGCTTCGGGCCCTGGGCAGGCACTGCCTCAAACAAGGGCTTTCCGTGCCTGAGCTCGGGGAATTCTCTTGGCCACCCCGGGACAGGGATGCTACGACTATCTCCTTTTTATAAACACAGACACCCAAGCTCAGAGAGGTGAAGTGCGTTGCCCAAGGTCACACAGCCATGATTGGAACCGAGCAGGGTTTGAACACAGACCTTTGGACGCTTCACCACCATCACCCGGAAGCCTGCTAAGCCAGGCGCTACCCCCCGACTTGCGGGGCCCACCTGGGCGGTCTGCACCCCAGGCCCTTTCCCTGCGATAGTGGTGATGTTGGAAACCCTTAGTTCAGAGCGCAGGTCTTCAGGGATGCGTGGAAGTGAAGGCCTGGTGGGCAGCAGACTGCCCCGCCCCCTCCCACCTGCTCCCTAGATGGTATGAGCAAAGGAAGGGCCGCACGGGGAGCCTCTCGGCTCAGGCACTCTGTGTGACCACAGTTTACATAAGGATTTAGTTAGACGGTAAATCCCATTAGTTATTCATTCAACAAACAAACATTTATTGAGCTCCTGCTGCGTACTGAGTCTTGCTCTAGCGTTTCTGCCAGTGTGAAGTCACCAGGAGGGGGGAGGCGCTTCCATGTGCACCTACTGTGTGCCAGGGCACTCCAGGTTCATTGCTGCACCCGATTCCTGTCGTCAGCCCATGTATGGTATGTTTCGTGGAGAAATCTAGGCTTAGGGGGTTTAGGTTACCATGAAAACGTGGAAAACGCTGGCCCATGTATCACCTAAATAATTTAGCTTCTCATGTATCAGCAAAGCTGTGCACACACACCCTGGATGGTGGCCTTAACTGATGGTTCCCTTCCTCTTTGTCCTCTCCCTCCCTCCGCCCCTAAAGCAAACCTCAGTGCTCGACTCAAGTGCCCTCAAGACCCGGGTGCAGCTCAGCAAGAGAAGCCGCCGCCGGGCTCCCATCTCCCACTCCCTCCGGCGCAGCCGGGTCAGCGAGTCGGGGAGCAGGTCTCCTTTGGAAGAGACTGACAGCACGTGGATGTTCAAAGATTCCACCGGTAACGCGCCCACCCACGCCTTCTCCCCTCCCCAGATGCCGCACTGCACGGCAGGAAGGATTTTAGATTAAACCCTGGGGAGAACTTCTCAACTTAGGAGGCTTTAGAGCGTTAAGGACACAATTACACAGGAAACTGATTTCTTGTTCTGCAGAGGTTGTCAGAAACTAGGTAAAAATGTTTTGAGGGATGATGCGTTAATTGAGGATGTTTGGGTTATAAGAGGCAGAGAGACACAACTTCACTGGGATTGACTATTCTGTTTCTATTCTTACTAAATTCACCTTTATACTTTGTTTAGGTTTGCTTGCTTGGTATTTTACTAGATTCTTAAGTTGAAAGATCAGTTCATTATCAGTCTTTTTTGTTTCCTAATCAATTATTTAAGGCTATTCATTTTCCTCTAAGGATTGCTTTGGCTGCATTCTGTATCGCAACGTGAGTGAATCTTGAAGAACACATAAGAATTAGCTAGCAAAGGGTATGCCAGGCAGAAGTATCAACAGGATCAAAGGGATAAGAAGTATGGGAAGAACATTGTGTGTACACGGCAGGAGCATCTTTAAGCAGTTTAGTGTCACTCAAGCTGGGAACAGCAGGAGCCATGCTGAGAAGGTAGGCAGGGGCCAGATCATGGAGATCCTTGATGCTTTGCTAAGAAGTTATATTTTTGTCTATACCTGCAGAGCCTTGAGATATTTTTCAGAAGAAAACAAAAAATTTCTTCCTGCAGTGGAAACTGTAGAAGCTAACCTCCCCACTAAGCCCCCCAAAGCTTAATTATAGGTGCTTATGTTCATTTGGGATTTGCCTGTGTCAAAGAGTAGGGAGTCAGACCAGACTCTGAGCTGAGAGGCACTACTTCTGACCAGACACCTCCAACGATTGCTTGGAGAGTTATCCCTCCCCCTCCCGTCCCATCTTTGTTATTAAAGAAAACGTTAAAGTGCGTGGAGTGAAGACTTGTCTCTGCATGCTTTCTTGGTTTTCTGAGCCAAGCTGCCTGGAGCAGATGAAGACCATATAAGGGACAAAAGCACACAGATACCCTCAGCTGGGGCGTGGCACCACCAGCCTTCAGGAGCCGCCCAGGGGCTAGGGACGGCTGAGGCCTGCGCTTTCTGGGCGTGCCTCAGTTCCCTGCTTGGGGGGGGGGGCTCCAGAGGATCAGGCCCTGCCTTGGTCACCCTCCTTCCCCTCCCCCACTCCTCAGGATGCCACGCCAGTGTCCAGGTAGCAGGGAGGCTGAAACCCCTCACCCTTCACACCTGAATCTCTCGCTTGGGAGATCCACTGAGGCTCAGGCATGAGGGTGGGGTTGTCCTGGAACGGGAGTGGCTTCTGGGTCCACCTTCGGGCCGCCCTTCCACAAGACTCACAGCCCTGCACGCTCCTGTCTAAGAGCATAATCCCAGCACATTATTGGCCGAACACATTCCTGTATCCTTTCCTGCCTCTGCCAAAGATTTCCTTCTATTTCTCTGACTCACAGTGAGCCAGGGGCCCAGGAGGTGGGACTGTCTGCGCCTTCCTTCCAGAGAAAACCTGCTCTGCCTGTTGTCAGTGTCCACGGAAAAAAAGGCAAACTCTGCAAAATAATTTCAAAGAGATTTATTCTGAGCCAAATTTGAGGACCATGACCTGGAGCCACTGCCAGGAGGCCTTGAGCAAGTGGGCTCGCCGTGGCTGGGTCACAGTTCGGTTTTATACATTTTCAGAGAGACGGGGGTTACAGGCAAAGTCACAAATCAATACATGAGAGGCATACGTTGGTTTGGCCCAAAAAGGTGGTGGGAATCTGGGGGGGGGGGGGGCTCAGGTTATAGGTGGGTTTAAAGATTCTTTGCGGCATTGGCTGAGGAGTTAGACTTTATCTAGAGACGCACGAAAGGATATGCTTATTTAAAGATAAGGGTGGTAGCATTCATGGAGGTCGGCCCAGGAGGACGTTTTAAGTTTACAATAGTCGCTCTGCTAGGATGCTTTAAGATGCTTAAATATGAATAGGCATCCTGGCTAGGATGTTGAGTTAGGATAGGGCCTTGCTTATCTTTAGGTGATGTTATGCATAACCAGAATAGGGCTGGGAAGTAAACTCACTTGCTTTATTTGGTTAGACAAAAGCCGTTAGTGGAATTTACGGTTTTCAGACCTGACCAGCTGGCACTCTTGGCGAAGGAGTTTTAGCAAAGAAAGATCAGAGTTTGTCTCTCATCAGTATTTCCAAGTTGCGATAAAGAGGAGATGAAAGAGGCACCTGTTTGTCTTATGTCGATGGGGCAGTAAAGTTTGAACAGAGATATGTGTGGAAGGTATCGTCCCATAGGCCCTAGGTGTGTGGCGGCTGCCGGTGATTCAGTGCATTTTCTTTGAAACAGAAGAATCGCAAGAGGACGAGTCGATGAGGAGGAGAAGCCATCTGGGGCTGAGAGACAGTCAGCCACCTCAAGGACGCTGTGTTCCAGGAGTGGACCAGGGTGTGAAGTACACCTCACAATGAGCGCCGGTGGCTGTGGTCTGACCAAGCAGCACAAGAGGCAGGTCTCCCTCTCCTTCTTTTCTTCTTCTCTCCTCCTCCCCTCATTCCCTCCCTCCCTCCCTCCCTTCCATCCTTCCTTCCCTCCTCTCTTCCTTCCTTCCTTCTTTCTCATCTTTGAAGTAGTTTGCAACTCAGAGGAAGTCGCAAGAAAAGTACCGAGGGCTTCCTTGTACCCTCCACCCAGCTTCGCCCAGGGTGGCTTCTCACGTGGGCACAGCTCGCTGTCAGAGGTAGGAAACTGGCCTCCGTGCGGCACTATGAACAGCGCTGTTAACTTATCCGGGTTTTGCCGGTTGCCCTGTGTTTCTTGATTTCTACTTTTTGTCTTTCCTTCTCCCCTAAACCTGCTGCTCTGAGGCTTACTCATCCGTAAAGTGGGCTAATGATCCATGTCAGGCACCGGGCCCGGGGCGGGGAAACGAGTGAGCACGCCCAGCCTTCTGAGGCCCCTGAGTGATCCGGGCTGCTAGTGAAGGCAGTCACGGAAAATGATCGTTTCAATACCAGGTGACTCGGGAAGACAGCACTGGGGCCACGCTGCACGGTTTTGAGTGACAGTAGAGGGCCCCTCCTCCTCCACACCTGCGGCTCCAGCAGGGGTGGGGTGAGTGGTACTGAGTTCAGGCAAGGAAGGGGCCACTTTGTCCCCCCCCATTGTGTGCCAGGCACCATGCACTTGCAAACTCTTCTTTGTGGCCCCAGGAACCCTGCCAAAGAGCAGTGACCATCTCTCATTGTATTGAAGAAGAAAGTAGGGCAGAAAAAAGCCTGGTTTCTTTGTAGAACTCCTCAACTCCAGTTGTTGTCTGAAGGCCACCGAAGCCTCACGTGGCAGGATCGTGGATTTGTCACTCCCTTGGTAGATGGAAGTTTGGCTTTCCTCTGTCATTTCTTGAAAGGATAAGAAGCCAATAAATCATGGATGCATGCTTGTCTCTGTCGTTGGCTTTACAGGCTCTCAAAATGTGAGCATCTTTCAGCCACTGAACTAGGCCAGAGGTCTTCTGCCTTTTTTTTTTTTAAGCATCAAAAACGAATGACTCTTACAAGGCAGCCTAATCTGGGAGGCAGAGAGGAGGCCCTGGTTATGGGTGGGGCAGAGGCCCTGGGGCTCCCTGTGGACGTCCCAGTCACTCCTGAGGCCGTCCCTGGGTCCCCGAACGCGGCTCGAGTCCGCGGCAGTCTGTGGCAGTGAGGTTCCCGCCGCCCATGCACAGCCTGAGCTCGGCCCCTCTGCCCAGTCTCGGCCACGGGCCGCGCTCGGCCGCGCTAACAACCCAAGGCGGCCACAGGGCTCGCTCTGGAAAGAGTCCCGGAGTTTGGGCATGGGGCGGACACAGCATGAACCCCCCAGTTCTTGAAAACTGCGTGACTTCCTTCGTGAAACGGAGAAAGCCGGGCTCTACCCCGAGAAGAATCTCGTACGTGCGAAACAAGCTAGCAGTCATCAGAGAACCGAGGCCGGCGGACTCCGGATGCTGAGTGCTCCGTGCGCAGGGGCTGCCAGCGGTAGTGACGCTGTTGCTGAGGCCACCCGGCGCTGCCCGGGAGACAGCCGCCAGCCGCCACGCTCACACCCCAGGTCCCCGGGGGGACTCTCTGCACGCTATCTTAAGTCATTCCGTTCCCAACACACCCTCCAGAAATGGGTGAAGATCTATGCTGCCATTTTCCTGGGCGCCCCCAAAGGGCCGTCCGAACTGCACCTGTTTACACGGGCTCGGGAGTGAGGGACCCAGTGGGACTGAGCCTCGGGCTGTCCGCATCTAGCTCGTCAGGGCGGTGGAGGGGGCGGCGAGCCGCGTTCAGAGAGCGCCGTGAGTAGCGGCTTTGCAGTGGACGAGAACGCTGGGAGCCTGGGGTGGTCACTTGGTCTTGATGGTCCGGGGCGGCTGCTTCCGACCCCAGCCTGGCCTCTGCTTTTTCTCAGCGGTTTCCTGCCTGAGCCCATTCAGACTCGGGGGCCCAGGGCTGGAGAGGGCTCAGCAGGCCTGACAGTGTCACCGCGTGGGGCCCTTCCCCGGACAAAAGGCGGTTTATAGACTCAGCTCTCTTCTCTCCCCAGGCCCAGCTGCACAAGAGGCCAGAGGTGGACAGTCCTGGTGAGGCCCCCGGCCGGGCCCCGCAGCCCAAGGCCCCCAAGTCCCCCTTCCAGCCTGGGGTGCTGGGCAGCCGCGTGCTGCCCCCCGGCCTGGAGAAGGACAAGAGGTGAGCGGCCTTGGGGGGAGAGAGCCCCTCCCCTCCCGGACTCAGGATGGACCTCTGAGAGGCGCTTGCACAGAGCAGAGTTTCGGCTTCTTCTTTTCTCTAGACACAGCAGTTTTGTTTGTGTGGCCGCTCAGCTCTCTGATCTCTGGAAAATACAACAGAGAAGGAGCAGGGGGCCGGCAGCCATGGCAGCGGGCCTCCCTTCTGCCCCCCCGGCCTGCCACCTCCTACACAGAAAACCAGGGCTCCGCTGTTGGAAAACTCCTGATCTGCTTTAGACCTCTCCAGACAGATGGGGAAACTGAGGCCTCCTCCCTCCTCTTACCCTCCAGGGAAGGACATTTGTCTTGGGAGACTAGGGAGACCTGAGAAAGGGGGATCAAAGGCACAGCCAGGTAGAGCGAAAGTCAGAGTCACTCAGCTCGGCCGCACCCTGTCCCGTTCCTGGGCGGGGCCTGCTCGGTGCAGAGATGAGCGCAGCCCAGCACCTGCCCCACGGGGCTCTCAGACCGGGGTGTCCCAGCAGCTGGGGGGGTGGTGAAAAGCGTGGGATCTAAGGTCTCACGGCTGGGGTTTAATTCCAGCTGTGCCACTTAAGAGCTGCAGGACCTGGCTGGGAAAAGTCACTTGACCTCTCTGAGCCTCAGTTTCCTCGTCTGACCAGTGGGTTTACTACCCATCCTAACGTTCCAAGGTGGTTGTGGGTATGACACTAGGAGTGTATTTAGAGCCCTCGGCGTGGGCCCCAGCATGCAGAGGTGCTCGCTAAAGGAGAGTGGATTCTTACTCTGAGCACTGTTAGTGCACAGATGCCGGGGGGACTGTTGGTGACACTAGGGCTGAAATTATAACAAATGAGGACAGAGCAGGGGCTGGCAAACTATGGCCTGCAGGCCAAATCCAGCTCCCTGTCTGCTTTTGTAAATAAAGCTTTATTGGAACACGGCCACAGCCATTTGTTTACATATTGCCTGTGGCTGCTTTGGTGTCACAGCTGCAGAGATACTGGAGCGGAGTCTCAATGAGCACTTTGGTCTTAGCTAAATAGGGGGGCAGCGGGAGGGGGTCCCAGGCTCAAGCCACGGGGTGTGCTAAGGCCAGGAGCCTGATTTTCCCGGGAGCCCCGCACAGTGAGTACTGCCAGGGCACGGAGCAGGTCGTGGGAGGCGAAGGGCGAGGGTTGGAGAGAGACAGGCCACGGCTGAGATGCTGCCTCCCTGCCCGGGCAGTGCCAGAATTCGGGGCTGGCTCCAGAGTCAGCTGACGGCACCTGCGTTTCTCTGCGGCTGGAGGAGCCCCTAGGTGCAGGGCTCAGAGGCACCTGTGGGGGCCTGGGCTCGTGCCGCTACGGCTGGGCAAGGTTTGGCCACAGTCTGGGGTAGCCTAGGCCCCCGTCTGCCCAGGAGTCCCCTCCCTTCTCACTGCTAGGGTGGCGGGCACAGCAGTTCGAGGCCTGCCCCCAGAGCTCCAGAGTCACCTTGTCCCCTGGTCCCCTGAGCCACAGACCTCCACCCCACCCAGTCAGCAGCTTCCCGAGCCCTCCCGGGCCACGGGGGCCAGGAGCTTCCTCCGAGATCAAAACACGTCAAGTCCTGTGTGTGCATGTGTGTTTGGTTATAAAGGTCGTACATGTTTACTGCAGAAAGTTTAGAAAACATAAAAATATAAAACAGAAAAAAATTGTCCATGATCCTACCCTGCGAAGACCACTGCTGTCAATATTTGGGCATCTCTCCTTCCACTTTTTCTTTTTTGCAGAGTTGAGATCGCGATGAGTGTGTAGCTTTTTATTCCTGCTACATGTGTCACGTGAACATTGTCCCATGCCTGTTAAACAGTCTTCACAAGCATGGTTTTTCTCTTCAATACAGTTTTAAACAGTGATGACTTTATTAATTTTTTTTAATTAAAATGATACGTTCTCCTTATAAGAAATTCTGAGAACACAGAAAACTACCGAGTAGAAAGTAAAAAATAAAACTCAAAAATATTACTATTTAGGTGGTGGTTACTCAGATGTATTCAGTCAGAAAATTCACTGAGCTGTGCACATATCATTTGAGTACTTCATGTGTTCTTTGATTTTGAAAAAAGTTAAAACAAATCTCACTTTTGCAAAAACAACCACTGTTAACATTCCATAAACAAATGACATCTTTTTTTCTTTTTCTTTTACTTTTGAGACAGAGTCTCGCTTTGTCACCTGGGCTAGAGTGCTGTGGCGTCAGCCTAGCTCACAGCAACCTCCAACTCCTGGGCTCAAGTGATCTTCCTGCCTCAGCCTCCCGAGTAGCTGAGACTGCAGGCATGCACCACCATGCCCGGCTAGTTTTTTTCTATTTTTAGTAGAGACAGGGTCTCGCTCTTGCTCAGGCTGGTCTCCAACTCCTGACCTCAAGCAATCCTCCCACCTTAGCCTCCCAGAGTGCTAGGATTACAGGTGCGAGCCACAGACATCTTTCTGTGTCTCATGGTCATTGTATTATTCAGAGTTCTTCAGAGAAACAGAGCATTATACACATGCACACATTTATATTTAATACACACACACACACACACATATATATATATATACACACAGAGAGAGAGAGAGATTGATGTTAAGGAACTAGCTTACGTGATCATGGAGGCTGGCAAGTCCAAAATCTGCAGACTAGGCCCACAGGCCGGAGCTCCAGGGAGAGTTTCGGGCTGAGGCTGAAAGGCTGTCTGCTGGGAGGATTCCCTCTTCTTCCTAGGAGGTCAGTCTCTTCCTGTTAATATTAATGTCTTCAACTGATCAGATGAGGCCCACTCGTATTATAGAGCATATAATCTGCTTTACTCAGCACCTACTGACTTAAATATTAATCTTATCTAAGAAAAAAATACCTTCAGAGAAACATTCTAGAATAATGTCTGGCCAGATATCTGGGTACCATGGCCTAGCCAAGTTGAGACATGAAACTAACCATCACAGGCACCTGCCTGGGTAGAGAGATGGAAGATGGACAGCTAGCTACGTAGGTGACAAATGGGTGGTGGCAATAACTTTGTACGAGATGAATTTTTGTAGCTGCAGATGATTTCCTAGAATGGATATACCGTGATTTTATTTAACATTCCCCACTGCTGGGCGCTTTGGCTAATTTCTACTTCTTACTTATTAATCATATCAACATGGCCCTCTTTGCCACCTGTGAGCGTTTGCTCCAGCCCGCATCCTGGCGTAGGGTGGAGAGCTGGGGGCCACGCAGCCCCTGCCCGAGGGGGGACCCTGGTCCAGCTCACACGCGCCTCTCGCTGCCTTTGTGGTTTCAGGTCGGACCAGCCCTCTCCCCAGTGGCTGAAGGAGCTGAAATCCAAGAAGAGGCAAAGCCTTTATGAGAATCAAGTTTGACCAGGTACACAGGGGCTCTGCCGCAGGGACCTGGGGACTCAGGCCGGGGGCAGAGGGAGAAGTTGGCGGGGCGAGGGGTGACTCTGAGTTCCTGTGAGGAGGGCGGTGGTGGTCTGTTTCCACTCAGGGGCAAACAAAGCCGGGCAGTGCTCAGAGTGGGTGAGAAGGCTCCGGGCCAAGAGTCAGGTGCCCAGGCTGTGGGTCTGCTTGCACGTGGCCTGTCCTTGCCACGCCTCCGTCCCCTGTATGAAGTGAAGGGGCGGGACCGCAGAGGCAGCTTCATCGGAAACGTTTCAGATTTTTACACGGAGAGTGTATTCATGTCCAACCTGCATAATTAAAAATTAATTTGAAAATACACGCATTAAAAAAAATCTAGTGGTTAGATAGGCCCTGGTACAAGTCCCAGATGACGTGACGCCGTGGACTTAAGCTTTCTCATCTGTAAAATGGGTTGACAGTGCCCACGTCGCTGAGAATGCACTGAACACGATCGACCGGGCGCTGCCTGTCCGTGTATAATGTAGGATCACGTGGTGCGCACCTCGGCGTCCACGGTGGGGACAGTAGCACGAGTCTCACCATCCCCCATCCACAAGCCTGAATTCCAAAAAGCTCCGAAAACAGTGTTTTTTTTTTTTTATAACTCACCTATGGGCAAAACCTGACCTCAGTGGATGTCGTGTATTTAGACTCTATTTTCCCCACTTCATGTGAATGTTCACAGTGCGCTGCGGGTATATCGTACGCTTGATTATGGGAGTGTTGCACGATGTATGTGGATTATATATAATATAGGTTACATGACTTTTGTATACATATAGGGGGGGTGTGTGTGTAGTCTAAACTCAAACAAAAGTTGTAAATTCACAAACGCGTCCATGCTCAAGAGCAGGCGTCCTCAAACTACGGCCCACGAGCCACGTGCGGGTGTTTTTGCCCGTTTGTTTTTTTTTACTTCAAAATAAGATGTGTGCAGTGTGCACAGGAATTTGTTCAGAGCTTTTTTTTTTTAAACTATAGTCCGGCCCTCCAATGGTCCGAGGGACAGTGAACTGGCCCCCTGTTTAAAAAGTTTGAGGCCCCCTGCTCAAGAGATTTGGGTAAGGATCAGGGCCTGGCTGTATTCTGTGCTCAGTGCAGTATGTGTGACACCTCATTTAAGCCTCCAGCAAGCCATTTGAGGAAACTGAGGCTCAGAATTGAGACTTGGAACCCTGACCTGACCCTCAGTTTCTTGTTCTTTCCACTGAATCGGACTGCCTGCCCCCTCCCTTGCCCTCCCTGACCCCCTACCCTGAAAGTCTCTTTCCTGGCCTTAAGCTTCCGGGGGTGGTGGCTTTCTTGAGACACATCAGAAAGGGTTTAAGGCCTCTCCTGGTGGAGAGAAGTGGGGCCAAATGTCCCCACTGCTGACACTGACATGTCCCTTCCTCTCCAGACAGGGGACCCGCCACGCCCAGCTAACAGAAGCCTTAACCGTCAGAACCCACAGACGGGGCCGGGCTGCTGCCGCCCCTCCCGGCCCGGCTCACCTGCCTGGGCCCTTCCCGCCGGGGAGGTCGCAGTCCAGCGCTCCCGCCCTCGGCAGGCTCTCCCCCGGCCCCGACGGGAAGACCCTCGCGCGACAGGCACTTGCTGGCCCCGGACGGCGCTTCCGGCTGGGAAGGAAACCAGGCTGCCCAGAAACACCTACGCGGACGGCGCTGCCTTTTACCACGTACAAGTCCTCGTTTCTACCCACTTTAGACGCCACCTGCGGCTCCAGGGATGTCAGCCTGAGGCTGGACTGTCTCCCTCGGTCCTGAAAACGCCTGGATAGTGAAAGCACCTCTCCCCCCGCCCCCCGGCGCAGGTCTTTTCTGGAAGAACATTTCCAAGGACGGTCAGACCGTTCATCTCCGCGGTAGTCGTGGCCCAAGGCGTTACCGCCGCCGGGTCGCGGGGTTCCACGGCTTTCTCTGGCAAGTTCCTTCTCCCCCTGGAGGAATCGGCAGTTCCGGTTTTCGGACACGCCTTCCCGAGGCTTCCGAGTGTCTTTGCCCTTCCCGTGGGGCCGCGCGCATAGTGTGACCTGTGTCGTCTACGTCACTTCTGTCTGCTGTAGAAGGCGATGAAGCAATAATTCAGCCAACTTTCTTTGAAACTTGATACGCATCTATGTTTTTACGTTAAGGGACAGGAGGAAAGACGTGTGAACCGCGCGTTCCGAAGTATCCGATCACCTCAGGTTATCTTATCCCTATCCGAGCTTTTTTAGACATTGCAATTGTCACTCTGGTATGTATCTCCCTGGTTTCTTTCCGCGTGAGCTCCGATTTCTGTGGGGTGACCTTTGGCCCTCGGCCTCGAGGGTCCCGAAACCGCAGCCCCGAAGGCGCGGTGCCTTTGCCATTCAGGTCAGACCTGCCCTCGGGATCTTCCTCTCCGGTCTTTCCTGAACACGGCCCGGCCTGCCGGCGCGCAGGAGCCGTTCCAAATCGGCCTCAGCACAGATGCGCGGATGAGGGGGACTTTTGGCTTCTTCTCGCCTCATCTTTCCATGCTCAAGTTCGCCCGACCGCGTGCTTTTCTTGGTCCCAGTGCGAGTCTTGCTGAAAGCCCTTCTCTGGAGGGGAGGACCCTCCAAGCCGGGGACTCCGGACAGGAGAACAGGATGCCAGGTGGCGACCTGTAAGGTTTATTGCCTCGCCTCTTCTTTTCTTGCTGGCTATAATCTCGTTCCTGGGAATAGGCAAGACCTCTGGGGGCTCTAGACACTTCTCTGTCCTTCTTTTTGGAAATCCTTAGCACCAGCCTCCTCATTTCTGAAGCCCCAGGATGTAGCAAACACCCAGATAAGCTTAGCTGGCCACCTGCCGTGCCTGGAGTTGCCGTATCTTTGTGCCAGCCCTGCCTGGGAGACACCGTCGTGACATGCTTGGGCCGTTCGCAGGGCAGCCTGTGATGGCCGAGGGGCCCGGGGCTGAGTTTCCTAATGGATCCACGCACAGCACTAGCTAGGTATGGAAGCAGGAGGCACATGTGTCCTCTCCCACCCCCACCCTCACCTTCCTAAGAGATAAAAGTCTTTCTTGATAAATCCATCCTGTGCAAATAAATGGTGTCCAAACATGCTTCTCATCTCCCCGGCCACTGCTCCAGAGTCTCCATTCGTCTCTCCGTCTCATCTTCCTCCTTCATCTCCTTTTATATCTCCTCTTGTCTCTCCTGGAGAGTGGGTGGGTGTGGATAGCAATCCTCTGTGTCTCTCCAGGTTAAGACAAACACCTGTGCCCTGGCGTGGGGCTGTGGTTCAGCACCAGGGACAGCAACTGCACGCCCCTCCCCCCCTCCCCCATCCCCCTTCCCCCAGCGCATGGGCAGTTGCTGGGCCCTGTCTTACCCCAGCCTTGTGTGTCTGGAAGCCTCGTGCATCCGGCTTCGGGCATTTAGCCCTGCTTGAAAATGGAGCTAGTGGTCGATCGATTCTCTTTGGCCATTTAGGGATTTAATTCTTCCAAGAACTGCTTCCGTTAATTTTTTTTTTTTTTTAAAGATCCAATTACTGTTTTATAACAATTTTGATATAGTGGCTTTCCACATCCATGGGACCTCCCCCTTTTGAAACACAGTCCTAGTGTTTGAACCCTGACTTATTTTCTTGGCTGCGGTCTGTCTTTCCTTCGGGTGGGAAGGGTGCTTGGTACCACCCTAGGGGGTAGGAAAGGACCTACTCTTAAGTACAGTGATACTCAGCGTGCAAAACTCTCAGTTCTTAACTAGTCATATTTAGTCCAAGAATACCAGACAGGAAAGAAAAACACTTGAAAATGAGATTGATCTGGAGATCCCTGGCCCAACCTCCTCCCACACCTTGATTGACTTCCGTGTTGATCAGAACACACGAAGTCTGCCCCCTCGAAACTGACCAGGGCAAGTCTCGAAGGTCCACCTCACCTCCCTCCACTTTCTGCAGCCTCACCCCTCCAGCGCCACAGAGCAGACAACCCCAGTGGGCCGGAGCGGCCCTCTGAACAGGCTTCCCGTGACTTTGGTCAACGCACCGAGGCTAGAAGGGGCTGGGGTTCTGGAGCCTTTGCAGAGAGCTGGGGCCGCGGGTCATTTATTGCTCCTCTTTCTAAGCCTACGTGAGCTCTTTGGGGGCTAAGCGAGGGGTCGAATGCTGGTTTCTCGAGTTTGCCTAGAGCCCCTTTGGAAATCTGTCTTTTTTTAAAACTCACTTAATAATGCCTTAATATCATCTGTGTGTAGCCGAGTCACCTGCCCCCATCCAGCCCCCCACAAACGAGTCTTACGCGGAATGCAAACCCTGTGTGTGTACAACCGACCTCTGTCTCTCCCTCCCTCCCTCCCCTGCCCCTTTGCACATCAGCATTTTCACAGCTGGGCTTTTAGGAAGTCCGTATCTTTCCCCCTCTCCCTTCTTCATGGTCCTTCGCCTAACGAAACAGGCTCCTGCCTGTGACATTCCACGGCGCGTGCTCAAAGAATCGGCGTAGGGGAGGATCACGCCGCGCCACCAGAGAAGCGCTGCTGAAAGGGGAACCTCACGGCACTCGGGACGTTTGCGGTTTTGAGGGAAGCTGACCTGGCAGCCTTGGGTTTTCTGGGACTCAGGGAAAGGACAACCAGACGGCAGTGTTCCCAGGGGGACCAGCCTAGTCACGTGCTTTCGGACGGACGTGTTTTCCTTCGTGCGTGCCCGGAAGCGAGGCCAGCTCCAGGGCATCCCTAAGGCACGAGGACAAACCGTAGGCACGAGCCTGAGGTCTTAACCCTCAGAGGCTGGGCGAGAAATGTGGAAAAACCCTCGGTGTGATTCTCCCAAAGGAGGACACTCAGCCACTCCCAGCTGGTGCTGGCGGCTGCCTCGTTGAGCTACTCTTTTAAGTTTTTGGTCGTGATGCACCCCGGCCTACCTGCTCCCCGCCGCTCAGGTGTCTGAGCTGCAGCAAGCCACCGCGGTGGCCCGGAGACGTTCTGTGGCTCGGAACGTGGCTTCCTCCCCTCCACCACGTGTGGAGGGACGAAAGCAGAAGTCCCCCGGCATCCTGCATCCTCGGGGAAGGAGCGGGACTGAGGTGCGGGGCCGTCGGGAGCAGGCAGGGCCCGCTCGCTGGCATCCGGAAGGGGACGCTCACTCCGTGCCGGGGGTCACCTGTCGGAGTTCCGGGCAGGCCCAGGCTCTGGGGGCCGAGAGCCACAGAAAATGCCAGGAGGCATGAGCACGCCAGGTCTGTGCCACTCCGTGTCTCCTTTTGCACCAGCCCCCTTCTAGAAGTTTCTTTTGTCTGGACCAGCTCCTGGAGGAAGAGGGGAAAGCAGAAAGCGGGGCTTTCTCCGCTCCAGAAAGTCGGCCTGAGGTTTCCGGCACGTTTTAACCGTTGGCATCAGCCCTTCTCAGCCTCTCCCCTTCGCCATCCCAGAATTCCCTTAGACAGTTGCCCTCGCACCTGTCCCGTGACAGCCTCTTCCCAGGCCTTGGACTGGCGGCTCCTTGACAATCTCCGGTTGTCCGAAGAAGAATTTGAGCTTTTTAATGATCTCATTCCAAATAGCCTTATAGATCTTATAAATCGGGGGCTCACAAAAGTTAATATATTGTACTATGGAAGATATTTTGTACTGTGTTGTTTCCTAAGTCCTAGAAGTCAGGCACTTCCCGGGTAATTACCATCCTCGACATGCTTCATAAGATGGGGCGGGGGTGGGAGTATATATAAAGATGGCCTATATTTTCCTAACCTTGCTTCTGGGTCCCTGCTGAGACAGAGTCACGACAGGGGAAGAACTCGAGTTCTGTGTGCGTAGCCAAGTCGAAGCTTCCTGGCTGCGGTGTTCTTGCGGTTGCCTTATGAATTCACAAGCTCTAGGAGTTCTGAACGGAAGGCAGACGAGAGGCACTTTATCCAATCCCAGAAAAAAAAAAAAAATCTCTAACCATATTCATCTTGAAAAACTTATATTTTTAATGTAAAAAAAAAAAGGGGGGGTGCTTCCTGGACCTCACAGAGTATTGGATGTCTACAAGTGCTTTTATATTTTGTAACTGTAAAAAGGTTTCCTATGCACAGAAGAGCAGTAGGCCGTCGGGTCGACTGCAATAAAACAAGACGAGCTTTGCATGTACAGAGATGTTGCATTCAGACCACGAAAATAGCAAATAAAGCTTTGGTGCAAGTTGCACTGGAGAAGTTGATGTGTCTGCGTGTGAATGAATGGGGTGTCCCGTGCGTGCGGCCCTGCCCGGGGCCAGCTGAGTCCGTCTCTGTGCTGAGCCATGGCAGGCAGCGGGAGGGCATGGCTGGGGGCCTGGGAGAAGGTGTCTGTCCAGGGAGGGAGGCCATGGACACAAGACAGGATTTCCATTCAGACCAACAAGTGGTTAAATCCTTGTTCTGCCACCTCCGGGCTATGGGGTTGGTCTCTATCTCTCTGTCTCTGTCTCTGTCTCTCTTTCAAGAGGGTCTTGCTCTGTCACTCAGGCTGAAATGCCATGGCCTGATCACAGCTCACTGCAGCCTCGAACTCCTGGGCTCAAACGATCCTCCTGCCTCAGCCTCCCAGTAGCCGGGACTACAGGTGTACGTCACTACACACCTGGCTAATTTTTTTTTTACTTTTTCTAGAGACAAGGTCTTGCTGCGTTGCCCAGGCTGGTCTCAAACTCCTGGGCCTCAAGCTGTCCTCCTGCCTCGGCCTCCCAAAGCGTTGGGATTACAGGCATGAGCCACTGTGCCCAGCCTGGGATATTTCTAAGCATTGATTTTCCTCAGCTGTCCAGCGGTGGGGAGGGGGTGGTGGCAACATTGGTGGGTGTGCGTTTAAAGCTACGGTTCTCACCTGGGTGGATTGTACCTTTCAGGGGACATTGCTGGCTGTCACACGGAGGGGGAGATGCTACCGCATCAGTGAGTAGAGGCAGGGATGCAGCTCAACACCCTCCGACGCCCAGGGCAGCCCTCACCCTACCCCACCACGGAGAGCGACCCCGCCCAAGTGGCAGTGGTGTCCAGGTTGGGAAGTCTGACCGAGGAGATGGGGCGTGTGGGAGTGCAGAGAGGGTCACAGCTGCTGGGACCCTACAGGAGCCGATGGGAGGAGACCCCACCTCCACCTTCTTCCCCGTACCCCCAGGTGGGGGCCACTGCACCCCGAGTTAAGGGGTCGAAAGCAACTCTGCTTTCCATGGTCGCCAGCAGGAAGTAGCCCCTTGGTGTGAACCGTCCTCCGTGGGCAGGATCTCTGGAATGAGAGTCAGAGAGAGACAGTCACCGTGCCGGCCGCTTGGCTTGCACGAAGGTTCTCCGCTGAGGGACCAAGAGACCACAGCGCTGCCCTTCAGTAACGCCCGGATCTGCCTCTAGAGTCCGGCTGGGACCCAGCAGCCCACGGCCATCGCCCTGCAGGGGGTAGCTGGCTTTGATGCCGACTCGAGGATTTTAGCCCCAAACAAATTACAACGGAAGAAAACCTTGTGGCTTAACCATTCCCTCCTTTGCCCCGTCGTTTATTCATTCAAGAACCGTTCGTTAAATACTTGGGACAGGCAAAATCATGCTTTGTTAGACACTTTAAAAATGCCTGGACCACCCCCGCCCCTGGCTTTTTTTTTTTTTTTTTTTTGGCCATAAATAGGTGACTGTCATGCTCACCTGTCTCTATGAAGGCCAGGAGTCCAGGCCAGGTCCCCGTAGGTGAGTTCACCTCGCTCAACTCCATGTCTGCACCTGTAACACGGAGGTGACGATTCTTCTCCTAAAGGTGGCCGGGTGGGGATGCAGCGGAAAGCTCTGGAAGCCGGCGGGGGGCCTGGCCTGCAGTAGGTCCTGGGTACACGCGAGCTGGTACTGCCACATGCTTTCCACCTGCAGAGAGGAAGTCTCCTGTGGCCTGTCACCTCGCCCGGAGCGGGCAGGTGGGGGCACTCGCAGGGTGTTCAGGGCAATCTGGCCTGGCATTCAGGCCACGCGGCACACGGAAAATGGAGGGCTTCTGGGGTCCCTCCAAGGTGTCGCTTCCCTCCCGGGGAAGAGGGAGGCAGAGGGGACACCGAGCCGCCCCCGCCTGGCGCTGCCCGGCGTGCCACGAGGCCAGGGAGGTCCACCTGCCCCCAGGAAGTCATCAGAAGCCATGGCCGAGAAGCCGGCGCGGGGCCTCCCCGGACCGGCTATTGGGGTGAAACGGCCCGGACGGAATCGGGCGGACAGCGCGCTGCCTCAGCGGGCCGGGATGTGCTGCGCAGTCAGAAAGCGCCCATAAATAGCGCGCCCCGCGGAGCAGGCCACCTGCGGCGGCTCCTCTGTTCTCCTGAGGCTACAGCAGCAGGTTCCTTCAGGACGGCGGGTGGGGAAGGGCAGGGTCCCCGGGAAGGCCCAGACCCTCGGTGGTCTCCAGGGCACGCACCTGGCTGGCCCCCTGCCAAAGTGGACGGGGGCTCGCCTGGGGGGGGGGGCACGCACGCTGGCCGCTCAGCCCAGCTGGGGGGGGGGGCAGGGAGCCACGCGGTCTGTGAGTCGGGGGCGGTGGCCGGGGTCCCAGCCCCTGGGCATGCGCTCGGGGCACGGGGGGCTTCCAAAGACGGGGCACCGCTGAGGGGGGAGTGGGCGCACTTGGAACCTGCCTGGTCCCCTGAGGACACCCCTTGAGCTGGACCAAGCCCGGCACGGGCCGCGCAGACAGCACCAGGCTACGCAGCCCAGGGCCCGTGCGGGGAGCTGTGGGCGGGTAACAGCGGGGTGGGGGGTGTAGACGGGGCTGCCTTGTGTGCCGCTATGGATGTCTGAAACGGGCGCGCACGTGTGTGTGTGTGTGTGTGTGTGTGTGTGTGTGTGAGAGAGAGAGAGGGGGGGGAGAGAGGGAGGAGCTGTGCTGTGTGCCCGCGGGTGGGATGTGGCCGCACAACCACCCCGGGAGCTTGCGTGAGTGTGCGCGTGTATGCAATAAGTAAATGCAATAAGTAGGACAGTCCTGTGTGTGTCTGTGTGCCACAATCGGAAGAGTCCTTCCACGTCACCACGGCAGGGCCGGTGCTGTGTGTCACTCGCTGTCCCTGTGGTCCCTGCGTCTGTGTCTCTTGGTGCACAGCAAACGCGTGATAAATGTGTGTGCAATGACAACTGAATGCACGGAGCCTGGGCTGGAGCAGCTGTCTGAGGACCTGGCCTCTGGGTGTCTGTCTGTCTGTCCACCTCCCGCCGTCTGTGGTCTCCTGTCCATCCGGGTCCCCCAGCCCAGGGCCCGGTGCTGAGTAGGTGCTCGCGGAAGTTCAGCGGAAAAAGCAGTGGGCGAGCAAAAGAGTGCACTGCCCGGAGCATGGGGGCGGGAGGGAGCCTGCAGACAGAGCCCCGCAGGGCCCAGCCTCTGGCCAGAGTGGCGGCCAGAGCCCCAAGAACCCTGGTTTGGGGAAAGTAGCAGAGTGTGGGGAAAAGGGCCTGGGCTTTGGAGCCAGGCCCCATCCTGGCCACTTGCTGTGTGTGGCCTCACTTCGCCGAGCCCTGGAGTTCCCCTCTACAAAATGGGGCTCCCGATCCTACGGACCGTCCAAGTCCGCACGCACTTGGTAGGCGCTCAGTGGGTGTTTGTTGAATGACTGAGTGACTGAATGTTGGTCGTGGGTATCGGGATCACAGCCACGTCCCATAGGCAGCAAGCTCCTGTAGCTCATCTTCGACTCCCGTCCCGCCAACTCCTGGTTTCTCCCGAGCAGACCTGGGGACTCCTTTTCCTTTGGTTTGCAGCCAGAGGTGTCCCTGGGGAGATGGCAGAACAGCACGGAGCACCGGAACAGGCTGCGGCCGGCAAGAGTCACGGAGGCCTTGGGGGCACCTACAAGGTACGGGCAGGGGCTGTGGCCGGGCCGCAGGGGCAGCGTCGGGCTGGGCAGCCTCTCTCCGCAGAGGAGCGGCAGCCCTTCCAGCCAGCCGGGCCAGGAGCCACCCCGGGCGTGTCCTCTCCCCCCGCCCCCCTGCTCCAAGCTTGCTTCGGACCTCGCGGCGTCTTCCCTCTTCTGTGTCCCCGTCTGCAAAGCGGAGCCCGTCACCCAGGCCCTGCCTGTCTCAGTGGAACGCAGAGACGTACCTTCCAGCTCTGACTCTCCGGCCTGGCCCCAGCCCCGCTTCCCTCCCTCCCTGGGCCTCCACGTCCCCATCCTTACAGTGGGGGTGGTGCCGCGCCCCCAGTGCCCAGAGCCAGTTCCCATAGCAAGGCCAGCTAACGCAGGGGGCGCTGGGGCCCCTGAGGGGGGCTCTGAACTTGAGGGCCCCGCCCTTGCCAAACCACCCCTGGGGCTTTCGGGAAACCCCTCGAGATGAGGGCTGCAGATGGGTCCACCGGGCAGACGATTGCGGGTGGGGACATTTCTGAGGACGTCCTGGCGGCTTCAGCAAGAGTGGAGGAGGCCGGGAAGGGAGGGGGATTCTCGGGTGACACTGGGCAAGCCTTGCCCTGGACCCTCGGCTTTCTCATGGGAACAGTTCGGGTTGGTCTAGCGACCTCCAAGGGCCTTGAAGAACTTCCCAGAGGCAGAGGCCCACCAGGAAGGTGGACGTCACTGCCGTCCCTCCCTGCCTGCCCTTGTCACCTGTGGGCCTTTCCCTGTCCATGCCAGTGTGGGGAGTAAAGGAACCAGCAGACTTATTGAATCCTGGTGCCCCCACTTTACTTGCTGTGCAGCCTTATGCAAGTGTCTTACCCTCTCTGAGCTTCTTCCATCCCTTTCATAAAACGACCATAACAGACGTTCCCCAGGAACCTTCTTACAAAAACAATTTGTGCTTCCAGGTGGGTGAGAAAAGCAGAACTTTGGTCTGCCTTTGCAGCCCCTTCCTTCCTGGGCACGGGGCAGGTGGAGGTCCACCCAGGGCGTGCAAACGGGGTGTTTCATTTGTCCTGCACAGGGATTTTTTTTTTTTAGATGGGGAAATTTCACATCAAGGAAAATAGAGATTTCTGGCCTCTCTTGAGAAGTTTGGAACTGTGCCCTCATTCCCTCATGGCCTCATGACTTCATTTCCCTGCAGCCCTCCCTCGGGTTATGTCACTCTCCCTCATGTCCCCCGCCTGGCTCTTGCCGATGATTTGAGGTGCAACCCTGGTGGATTTGGTCTAATTGAGGTTCCCCGCCATGGCCACCGGGGGGCAGTGCAGGCCCACGGAGGGGCAGCGGCGGGAGCCCGAGCCCTGCCAGGGAGGGACGGGCAGCATGCGGCTCTTCCAGGTAACCGTGTACGAACTGGAGAACTTCCAAGGCAGGCGATGCGAGCTGTCGGCCGAGTGCCCCAACCTGACCGACAGCCTGCTGGAGAAGGTGGGCTCCATCCAGGTGGAGTCCGGGCCGTGAGTACCCAGCCCCCCAGCCCCCCGTCACCGACCCCATGCCTTCCGGGAGCCCAGAGAGCCCAGCCCGAGCTCTAGATCTGTTGTGGGGCCTACAGCAACCCCCTTCCCCTCGCTGGCCTCAGTTTCCCCACCTGTAAAACGAGAGCTGAACTGTGATCCTCTTACAGTCCTTGTAGCTCCAGGTGTCTGTGATAAGTGACAAGGTGCCATGGAAAGAGAACAGACAAAGGCAGTCCAGGACCTGGCTCAGTGCCTGGAAAATGGGATCTAATTGTATATGATTTTCGTAATTATAACTAAAACACCTACATCCTAAGGTGCATCCTATCATTGAACCCTCACAACCGCCCTATGAGGGACGTGCCATTCTTATCCCCATTTTATAGATGAGGAAACTGAGGCCCGAGTGGGCAACTGACCCACGCATGTCCAGAAGGCAAGCAGGTATCTCAGTAGGGCTCTGAGTTTCCGCCTTTGGACCGGGCTCTGGCACAGAACATCTGGGCGATCTCAGGCAAGTTTCTTCACCCTCGGGGTCTCTGTTTTCTCATCTGTGAAATGGAGACCACAACGATACAAATGTCAGAGAGAGTTTGGTGAAAATAAATGGAAGGATGACACAAACCAGTAATAATAATAATAATAATGATATGAAGAGGAAGGAGGAGGAAGGTGAGTGTTGCAGGAGAAAAATGAAAAAGGAGGAAGAGGAAGAGGGGAGGAGGAGGAGGAGGAATATTCTTCTGAGCACCGTGGGCAGAGGCCGGACATACGTAGATTCTCAGGAACATGCCCTAGGATGCCTTTCTGGCCCATAGTCTCAGTTCCCGATATGTCCCAGTAGCGCCTTCAATGATGGGTCCAGGAGTCAGTAGTAGGGTCAGAGAGAGATTCAAGGTCAAAGGTCAGTAGCCCTTGGGCCCTTCCCCCGCCGGGCGTGGGTCCTCCTCGGCTGCAGTGGAGGTGACCCCGGCCTCTTCCTCTCGCAGGTGGCTGGCGTTCGAGCGCAGGGCCTTCCGCGGGGAGCAGTTCGTCTTGGAGAAGGGGGATTACCCTCGCTGGGACGCCTGGTCCAACAGCCACAACAGCGACAGCCTCCTGTCCCTCCGGCCCCTGCACATTGTGAGTCCGGCCGTGCCCACTCCCGGGGGTTCTGGGCAGCAGGGCCTGCTGACAGCCAGTGTGGACGGGGCTGGGAGGGCCCTCGTGTTTCCCATCTCAGTGGTCGCGTGGAACGAGAAGCAGCGGCCTTTTGAATGGGCACCACGCTGGGGGTCAGGACGCCCGGGCTCCCATCTCGGTTGAGCCTGCACGGCGCGTGGGCTCCCGTTTGGAACCCTACTACAGCTCGGGGCCACGCGGTCCGGGCTCGGATCGGTACCGTGGCCAAAGGAAACGCCGTCCGGGGAATAACTTCAGAAAGTAACTTCCAGACAGTTTAGGTTCTTCGCTCGCATTTCTCCAACGCCTGAAAGGGACACGGTGACTCTCTAAATGCTGCCCCCCTCTCTCCCCTGCTTCACCCACACGCGGTGGCCACCTGGCCCTTTCTCCTTGTCACATGGCTGGGTCCTCCTTAGAGGGCAGTGGCAGGGGGGAAGGTTAAATAGGAGTGCGGTTAGCAGGAAGGGAATGCTCACACATGAATCCTCTCAGCAACGTGCACCCTCTCTGGGCCTCGGTTTCCCATCCGTTAAAGGAGGGGGTGGAACCAGCAGAGTCCCCTTTCGGTTCCACACTCCGTGGCTCCAGGACGCCAGGATGCCCAGGCAAACCGGCTCTGGAGGAAGCTCTGTGGCGCCCCTGCCTCCCTCCTGCAGCGGGTTTGGGGACAGGCGTTCCCTTGCGCCGACCCATCGATGGATTCCTTCTGGCATCTGGAGCCACCTCTGCCCTGGGCATGGATGGGGTGGGGGGCGGGCAGCTGTCTCACCCCGCGTCTCCCCCCAGGACGGCCCGGACCACAAGCTGCACCTCTTTGAGAACCCAGCTTTCAGCGGCCGCAAGATGGAAATAGTGGACGACGACGTGCCCAGCCTGTGGGCTCACGGCTTCCAGGACCGGGTGGCGAGTGTCCGGGCCATCAACGGGACGTAAGGGCCCCACCCTCACCCCGCCCTGCCCTCTCTGGTCAGCCTCGCCTCCCGCCAATGTTTCCTACACGGCCGATCGATATTTGTCGCCCCTCCGGGTTCGGAGGGCCCTTTGGGGCAGCCGCCCCTGGGCCGCCCCTGCCCGGAGCCCCACGCAGGGGTCCCCACGGCGCGAATGTCCAGTGTCCTGCCCGCCCGCACTGTGGGGACTCCTAGGCAGCCTCGACTCATAAGGAGCTTTATCTTTTCTTAAAGTCACATGGAATCTGTTCTCCTCACCTGTCCCCACCTGAGTCTTGTACACCTTTTCAGAACATCCCCAAGCCCTCTTCCCCTCAGGATCCTTGTCCTTCTTGCTAAGGGACCCCGGGTGTATGCAGCGTCTAGGTGTGACCTGAGCAGTGCACGGGACAGCAGGCTTATCCCCTCCCCCATTCTGGGTTTCATATCACTGTTCACGCAACCTTAGGATCACCTGCCGTTTGTCGGGGGTTACGTCTTACTGTGCTTGTCATCTGGGGTTGGGCCCTGAGAGATGCCACCTGTCCCTGATAATAATCTATTCAACAACTCTCTACTGAGCGTCTCCTACATGCCAGGTGTGGGATACAGGGCGACCAGAGCTACACACCTGTGCCCTCAAGGGTCACGTAGCCTGATAGGGAGACAGACAGGGAAACAGGTATTCACGATCTATGGAGATCAGGATTGCGATGGGGACACACCGCGGGAGGAGGGGCCTGGGAGTCCCAACGAGGTGCTCGATTCAGCACCTGGGGGAGTCAGGGAAGGCTTTTTGGAGGAGACTTCTAAACTGAGATGTAGAAGATGCAAATGAAGGAGGGGGAAGGATGAGGTCGAGGTAAGGGAGAGTGTTCCGGGCAGAAGGAACAGCATGTACCAGGGCTCAGAGACGTGGCAAGTCCGAGGAAAGGGGACTAAGAGAGGTTGGGGCATAGAGTTGAGACGAGAGGCTAGAGGGGCTCTGCGAAGGGTCCAGGGAGCAGGGTGAGGGGTTCGCACTTATCCTGAGGGCACTGGGGAGCCAAGGTGGAACGTAGGCAGGCGGAGCGCAGGGTCAGACGCTGGCTTTCAAAGGCTTGGTGTGGCGTGGGGCGGGTGGCTGGAGGGAGGCGGCGTGCGCCCAACCTCGGTCTCCCGGCAGGTGGGTCGGCTACGAGTTCCCCGGCTACCGCGGGCGCCAGTACGTGTTCGAGCAGGGCGAGTACCGCCACTGGAACGAGTGGGACGCCAACCAGCCGCAGCTGCAGTCCGTGCGCCGCATCCGCGACCAGAAGTGGCACAGGCGGGGCTGCTTCCTCAGCAGCTGAAGGGCGCCCCGGCCTCAGCGGCCTCCGCCCGCCCTGGGGGGCAGCGAGGGCAAGAAGAGGAGGCTCCAGGCCTGGGCCAAGGGGCTGCCTGTCCACCCTTCCCCGGAATCTGCTCAATAAAGCCGGGGGTCGGTCCCCCACCTGCCATGTTCCTCTGCGTCGCTTCCTCAGGGCCAGGGCGCGGCGGGGCCTGCCGGAGGGGCAGCCTAGGGCGGCCGGGCGGGAGGGTTCCGAGACCCCCGGAAAGGGCTGTGAGCTGCGCCCCTGGCCTAGGCTCATGCCATCCTCTCGGGCAGAGACACACGCACTTCCTGCCCGATCTCGTGTTTGTCTATCGACGTGCGTCTCCACCTGAATGTCTGTCAACACTTCCATCCAACTATCCATCCACCCCACCTGCACATCCACCCCCCACACACATCCATCCATTCTTCCTTCCCTCCGTCTTTCTATATTTCCTTCTTTCCATTAATTCATCCATACTTCCTTCTACCTACCCACCCACACATCCATCCATCCACCCATCCATTCATCCACCAACCCATCCATCCATCTACCCAACTATTTATCCATCCATCCATTCTTCCTTCCTTCCATCTTTTCTTCTTTCCATTGGTTCATCCATCCTCCTTCCTTCTACCCACCCTTCCATCAATTCATCCATCAATTGTTTCAATCCACTTGTCCATCAATCCATCCATCCTCTCTTCCTCCCATCCATCTGTATATCCATACATCCCCCTATCCATCCATCCAACCATCCATTCTTCTTTCCTTATATCTTTCTATATTTTCTTTTTTCATTGATTCATCTTTCTACCCATCCATCCATCCATCCACCCATCCATTCTTCTTTCCTTCTATCTTTCTATATTTTCTTTTTTTCATTGATTCATTATCTTTCTACCCATCCATCTATCCATCCATCCACCTATTCATCCATCCATCCATTCTTCTTTCCTTCTATCTTTCTATATTTTCTTTTTTCATTGATTCATCTTTCTACCCATCCATCTATCCATCCATCCACCTATTCATCCATCCATCAATCCATCCATCCATCCATCCATCCATCCATCCATCCATCCATCCATTCTTCTTTCCTTCTATACTTCTATATTTTCTTTTTTTCATTGATTCATCTGTCTTTCTACCCATCCATCTGTCCATCCATCCACCTATTCATCCATCCATCAACCCATCCATCCATCCATCCATCCATCCATTCTTCTTTCCTTCTATACTTCTATATTTTCTTTCTATCTTTCCATCGATTCGTCCCATCTTTACATCCATTCATCCATCAATTCTTTCCATCCACTGTCCATCGATCCATGCATCCCATCTACCTCCCATCCATCCATTTTTTCATTTCCTTCCTTCCTCTCATACACCCATCCATCCTTTCTCCCTCCATCTCTCTCTGAATCTGTCTCTGTTGTCATCGATTTGACATCATCGAACTCCAGGCCTTGCCCAAGGCCTGAGGAGACAGCACAAAGTTCTCACCTTCTGTGGGAAAGAAAGAAAATAAATAAACCAGTAGATTTTGCATATCCTGCTGGGAGGTGGAAAGTGCTAGGAAGAAAAATAAAGTGGGGTAAAAAGACCTTCAGGGCTGAAAGAACCGTGAGAACATTCCGGGCAGAGGAATGACAGGTGCGAGGGCCGTACGCAGGACTGCGCTGGCGTGGTGGGGAAACAGCCGGGAGGCGGGTAGGTCTGGGACAGAGTGAGTGGGGACATGGATGGGTCAGAGGGACAGGTCAGCTCATGTAGGACCTCGAGGACCATGATGGATTCTGATCTTCTCTGAGGGAGGTGGAGCCGTGGAGTGATTGAGCGAGGCAAGCCGAGGCTGCCTTGGGGGCTGGCAGAGCCTCTCTGGCTGGGGTGCAGGGAGCACGCTGTGAGGCCGAGAGGGGGACTCAGGGAGGTGGTCCCCCCGAGCTCTCTCTCTTCCATGCCTCGGTTTCTCTGTTCCCCCGCCCAGGGGCCTTCTGCAGCCTTGGCTGGGGACGGGAGCCCCCTCCACCTTCCCACCGCTGAGCCCGGCTCTGGGCCTCGGTGGCTTCCTCTGGGCAGCGGGAGTCGCCGGGCAGCTGAGCGGGGACGCCGGGGCAGTGCCAGGCACGGATGAGCCTCTCCTGCCCCCGAATGGGAAGGGGAGGGCTGTCCCTCTCGACGGTCAGCTGACCGCTGGGGACCAGCCTTCCCCCGTCCCACCTCCACGCACCACCCCTGCGCCCCGTCCCTGACTTCGTTGTCCCCGGAGCCCGTCTCAGCCACCTGCAGCCTCCCAGCGGCTGACGCAGCCGGTGCGTGGGAGGCCTGCGGGCTCGGGGAGGCCCTGAAAAGGACGCCCAATGTTCAGTTACTCCGACCTGCGTGCGTTTCAGACGTGCCCACAGCCGCGGAATCGCCCTGACCTTCTACTTTGGAGAGTACGGGACAGCTGGGGCGGGCTCGGGTGGGACAGGGGTGCCCAGCGCCGAGACAGACGAAAGGCAGGGGTCGACGCCCCCCACGGGGGGACGGCAGCACCCCCAGCCTCACCCCTTCCCCCTCCCAGAGCCCACCCCCCTCCCTTTCACAAGGAGCGGCCTCGTGGCGTGCCCTACGTCCCAGCCTACCCAGTGCCAGCCACAGCGCCCCGGGTTTGCAGGATACGCTGTCTCGCTGAATCCCCTGAATGTCACCGGAGGGAGGGCAGGCATCCTTATTCATCCTACTTCACAGACGGGGAAACTGAGGCCCAGAGAGGCAGCATCGTCCTCCTAGGGCCACGAGGATGAGAAGCGGCAGAGCTGAGACTTGGACCCTGGGCGTTGACGCTACAGCGTCTGTTCCTGAGCCCCCCAACACGCTCCTGCATCCCTTGGGGAGACGGGAGTCGCCAGGGAAATAGAGTAGAAACAGAAATAACAGCAGCAGCCCTTGCAGCAGTAATAACGCTGGTAATAGTAACAGCCGCCCCTGCAGAGCTGCTGTGAGCCCAGGCCTCATCCCCGGGTGTTTCATGGCTTTGTCTCTAAGCGACAGACAAGTAATAAGGACCCTCATTTGCAGAGAGAGAGAGGGACTCAGGCCCAGAGAGCCGAAGTAAACGGCCCCAGGAGCCACAGCTTTTCAGCAGTGGGACCAGGACTCGCATTCCACGCTGTCCCCAAAGCCCATTTCCCTGTACTCGGCAGGGCTGGTGCTGTGGTTGGTCGACCAGATGCTGCCGCCACCCATGCTGGCAGTGTTGACGTCTGTCCAGCACCTGCCGTGTTCTAGGCCCTGGGCCGGGAGCTGGCCACGTCCGATCTCACTTGACACCGAGATGCTGTCTGGGCTGCCGGGGCCAGCTCAGTGTCCCCCCCTCAGGCCGGGTGCAGTCCCAGGGCCTGGGGCTGGGTTGATTCCAGAGGGACCCACAGGCAGTCGCCCACGAGCAAGCGACTCTGCCCGAGGCCTCAGACTCATACTAGTGACCTGTCTCAGGGAGCGCTTGCTCTCTGCACGTGCTCCTGAGCCTTCTCCTATGCCATCTTCTGAGCTCTGAGAGGTCCAGAGAGGGCAAGCCAACGCCTGAGGTCACACAGCCAGTGAGGGGCAGAGCTGGGATCTGACCCCAGGCCTGACTCCAACAGCTTGCCCGTAGCGCCAACCTAGACCCGAGATTTCCCTTCTACGGGGGCAGAGCCTGAGAGTGACAGCGAAGCGCGAGGACCCCTCCGTTGCAAGAGGGTGCGGTTTAGTGCCAGGAGGTCACGTTGCCAGTTTCACCGGGAGGCCGTGTGGGCAAATGGCGAGAGGCAGTCCAGTCAAGGACTGGAGGTGGGGTGGCCGAGTCGGGCCCCGGGTCTGCGCCACCTGGGTTCCTCTCCAGGCTCCCCCACTTACTGTGTGCTTTTGGGCGAGTCACTTAACCTCTCTGTGCCTCGGTTTCCTCATCCATAACACGCAGCTAATAATACTACCTATCTCATAGCGTTGTTGTGAGTAGTAACCTGACTTGGCGTTGCAGAAAGAGCTTAGGACCATGGGCACGATAAAGTCCCTGCTCTGCGAAGGGTCCACCATGCTCTTCCTCACGATTGTTTTTGATGAGGAGGATAAGGATGACAGACAGGCGACATGGTTGCATGGGGCAGAAAGACTTCCCAGTTAATGCTGTTTTCTTTTCCTAAGGACGCCCACGGGAAACAAGGAAATAGGCTGGGTGGCCTTGCTCAGAGAACCCCCCGGGGGTGGGGTACACATACCCCAGCCCCCCACCCTGCGGGCGAGGGCGTTACCCGGCACTCCTCGCCATTTCGAGAATGAATGTCGCCTGTGGTGTATGAAAATGTCAAACACACATCCGATTGAACATTGACTTCCTATCCGAACTCCTGCGCTACAGACGGGAACCAACGCCTCGCTACTTTCTCATAGCTTCTGGTACCGTCGAACGAAGCCTAGTTCTAGATCGAAACTCATATTGTCAAACACTTTATCTTGTTCTTCTTGCATGCTCTAGTTAGAGTCAGGGCATTTTACCATTCATTTACTCTGAAAGCGTGTGTGTGTAGCCGGATTATATTATCAATTTTATTTCAAGAGGATAAGAAGGCGGTCGCAAATAATTGCCAACCGAGGGGGGTGCTGCTTCTAACCGATTTCTGAGGCTCCCTGGGGCGCTGACCCTTTGTATGTGAGCATTCAACTGCGCTTGTCCGAGGGGGCATTAGGCCCATTCTCTCCTCGGGACCGGGAGGATGAGGTGGGGAGGGAGTCCCAGTTCTTTCCGTCCACGTGTCTGTCAAGCTGTGCTGCGGTGACAAACAGCCCCCGATCCTTGGGTGTTTAAAACAAAACAATAAAAAAGGTTGGCTTCTCCCTCCGGCCACACGTCCCGAGCTGGGCACCAGGGGCCCTTCTCCACATGGTCACTCAGGGACCCAGGCTGACGGAGGCTGGGTCTCTCCCTGCCGCGCTGCCACGCTGCCATGCTGCCATCTCAGGGCAGTGGGAGGGAAGGGGTCACTGGAAAGTCTGGCTCCCGCTGTCAAATGATCTCACCCGGAAACCACACCAGCCACGTCTTCTCGGAATCCACAGACCGGGATGGGTCACGTGCCCCGCTCCCTCCCAATCTCACGAAGACCCAGTGGTAACCTGCTCACTAACACGGCCCGAACAGGCCGCCTTCCCCACCTCCCTCCCACTCTCCCTCCTTCCTGATGCTTCCCGGGATCACCTCCCGAATAAAATACCTGCACTTGAACTTGAAGTCTTAAAGTCTGCTTCTGATAGAGCATAAACGAAGACGCTCCCACTCCTCATCTCTTTCTCATTGATTAATTCAGCCTGTCAACAGATATTTCCTGAGCACCTCCCACGTGCTAGAGCCCGTGTGGGCGCTAGTGGCACGGAGATGACCGAGCTCCGATGAGCTCACTGGCTAGACGAGGGAATTGCCCAGGTCACAGCAAAAAGGGAAGCACGAGCCGGGTGTGGTGGTGCACGCCTGTATTCCCAGCACTTCGGGAGGCTGAGGTGGGAGGATGCCTTGAGGCCCGGAGTTTAAGACCAGGCTGGGCAGCATAGCAAGACCCCCATCTGTGCAAAAACTAAAAACATTAGCCAGGTGTGGTGGTGCACACCTGTAGTCCTAGCTACTCGGGGAGTTGAGGCAGGAGGATCACTTGAGCCCAGGACTTCAAGGTTGCAGTGGGCTATGATTGTGCCACCGTACTCCAGTATGGGTGACAGAGCAAGACACTGTCTCAAAAAAAAAAAAAAAAAAAGGCGAAGCACTTTGAGATCTTAGGAACCTGTCAGCTGTAAGCTGCACCACAGCGGAGACCCTGTGACTGTCACTCCCCACTGTGTCCACGGCCGATCCATTCGCTGGCTGTAGAATGGATGAGTGCAGAGAAACGCCCACATTGCTGACAGTCTCTGTCCTGGCACCTATTTTGAGTGAGGGGGTGAAAAAGAAATAAATACATAAATGGCTTTAAAAGCTTTGCCGTCCACACAGATGGAATAATAATGAACAGCACTAAGAGCTGTGGGTACTGAGGGCTTCACACAGCTGGATCATTTTGTGAAGGGCATAATTACTAAGACGATAACATCCATGGACCAAAATATTTAGTTCTTCACAGGTGTGAAGGAGAAGGCGACTTCCATTTGCAGGTGAGAAAACAGAGAGAAGGAAAGTAGTATAGGCTTAAGGCTTTGGCATCTATGAATCCTGAGCTCTGAGTTCAAATCCCAGCTCCACCCCTTCCTGGCTGTGTGACTTTAACCAGGAATGTGCCCTCGCCGAGCCTCAGTTTACTTAACTGTACAAATAGATCGCTGTTAATCAAACCTCTCTCCAGAATGTTTTGCCATTTCTTTTTTTGTTTGTTTGTTTGTTTTTGAGACAGAGTCTCACTTTGTTGCCCAGGCTAGAATGAGTGCCCTGGCGTCAGCCTAGCTCACAGCAACCTCCAACTCCTGGGCTCAAGCAATCCTCCTGCCTCAGCCTCCGGAGTAGCTGGGACTACAGGCATGCGCCACCATGCCCGGCTAATTTTTTCTTTATATATTAGTTGGCCAATTAATTTCTTTCTATTTATAGTAGAGACTGGGTCTCGCTCTTGCTCAGGCTGGTTTCGAACTCCTGACCTCGAGCGATCCTCCCGCCTCGGCCTCCCAGAGTGCTAAGATCACAGGCGTGAGCCACCGCGCCCGGCCGGTTTTGCCATTTCTATCAGCCAATGCGAACCCTGACTGCTTCCGAGATGTGGCTATTGCAAGGTGCGGAGACAAAGCACCTCATTTCTGCTGGGGAAACTGAAGTCTGAGGGAGAAAATGTCACCGCAGACCCCAGAGCTTGCAGGGCGGCATTACAGTTTAACGATTAAGACCATTTTCCTGGAAGTCAGACTGAGCTAAGTTCAAGCTCTTGTCCTACCACTTCCTGGCTGTGTGACCTTGGACAAGTCGTTTCACCTCTATAATCCTCAACTAGCTTGTCTGTAACAGAGGATATTAATAATGCCGCCCTCAAACACGGTTGTGAGGCTTGCACTTAACGAGACAGGAGGTAAAGAAAGGGTCCTCCGGGGCTGCGGTCCCCAAGCCCCTGGCTGCGGTCCCCAAGCCCCGGGCTGCACATTGGCACGGGTCTGTGGCCTGTGAGGGGCCAGGCTGCAGAGCTCAGCCACCGCCAAGTTTCATGGGAAGATTGTCTTCCATGCAACGGGTCCCTGGTGCCAAAGAGGTTGGGGACCTGCTGCTCCAGGGAGCTTAGTCAAGGGGCTTAATCTACAAAACTCAGCCCTACTAGCTCACGGGCTGTGCAACCCTGGGCAAATTGCTTAATCTCTCTGAGCCTCAACTTTCGGTTTTATAAAATGATTGGCCAATAAATGTGACACTCGCCTCTTGGGATTGTTGGGAGGATTAAGAGAAGTTAAGTGTGGGCTTAAGTGCCCGACTCATGCCGAGCTCTCATATCATCTAAATGTTAAGAATTCACCCTTAATTATGAGGACACAGCCAGGTCTTCAATCTAGCCATTTGTTCAACAGATATGAATTGAGGTCTATGACGGGTTGCATCGTGTCCGTAAAAGGTGTGCTGAAGTCCTAACCCCCCAGTCCCTCAGAATGCGACCGACCGTATGTGTCACATTTCCAGAAGTAATCGAGTTAGAGCGAGGTCACTGGGGTGGGCTCTGATCCGCTGTGACTCGTGTCTTCATGGAAAGGGAAATCTAGACTCAGAGCTGGTCAAGCACAGCGGGCAGACGGCGTGAGGACACAGGGAAGGGGCAGCCCCGTGTGTCTGCTGTCCAGGGGGAGCTGAGGGTCGCCAGCGAACACCAGAAGCGGGAAGAGGCCAGGAGGGACCTTTCCCTAGAACCGTCAGAGCAAGCACGGCCCTGGTGACACCTTCAGTTCAGACGTCTAGCCTCTAGGGTGGCGAGACAATACCTTTCTGGGAATTTACCATTTTAATCATTTTTTTTTTTTTAAGAGATGTGGTCTCACGCTGTCACCCGGGCTGCAGTGCGGTGGCACAACCATAGCTCACTATTACCTTGAGCTCCTGGGCTCAACTGAGCCTCCTTGCCTCGGCCTCCCAAGTAGCTGGGACTCCAGGTGGGCACCACCACGCCCGGCTCATCTGAACCATTTTTAAGCGAACAGTCCCATGTCACTGTTGCACAACTGTCAACAGTATTCATCTCCGGGACATTTCCATCGTCCCAAAGAGAAACTCTGTGCCCCTTAAACAATAACTCCCCATTCTCCCCCTCCCCCAGCCCCTAGCAACCTCTGTTCTGTCAACACTTCGGTTCTCTATGAATCTGCCAACTCTAGGTCCCTCCCATAAGTGGAATCTACAATATCTGTCCGTCTGTGACCGTCTTATTTCGCTTAGCATAACATTTTCAAGGTCCATCATGTCGAAGCACGTGCCAGAATTTTCTTCCTTTTTAAAGCTGGATAATGGTCAGTTGCGTGGATAGGACACATTTTGCCTATTCATTCGTCTGTTGATGGAGGTTTGGGTTGTTTCCACGTGTTAGCGCTTGTAAGCAACGCTGCTGTGACACGGGTGCCCGGATGTGTCTTCAGGCCCCCGCCTTCCACTCTTCTGAGCATAAGCCGGAAGTGGGGTGCTGGACCACGTGGTGACTCTATGTTTGATTTGTTGAGACTGCCATACCGGTTTCAGTAGCATGCCCTTTTGCATTCCAAATTTCCCTTGTTCTTAAGCCACCCCGTTCGTAGCACTTTGTTATAGCAGCCCCAGAAATCTGGCACGAGCACCTACTACGTGTCAGGCACCGAGCTCTGGCGGTGCCACGGCGAGCCAGGCAGACGACGGCTCTGCACTCGTGGCGCCCACTTTCTAACTGGCCAGATAGAAAGTGAGTGAGCAACAGAACGTCGGTGTTGACAAGTGCCACAGAGAGGAGCAGCTCGGCCGGGGGGGATGGAGTGCCAGAGCATGCACATGTGTAGGCGTGTATGTGCACATGCATGTGCACGTGTGTGTGTGTGTGTGTTGGGGACATGGGAGATGGAGGAAAGCAGCTACACTCAACCCACCTTCCAAGCCTCAGATTGGGTCAAGACCCGGGCTGGGCTGCAAAGACGTGCGCGCTCGAGGACCGAGAGTGGCGGCTGGTGCCCCCCGCACGGGGCAGTGGCGGGAGGGATCTGAGACGTTTCTCCAAGCGCCAGGGGTCTAGGGTCCCAGGAGCACCCCACTGTAGGACAGCTGGCGGGCAACAGCCGGAGACCTTGAGGACGGAGTGCACCCTCCCCAGCCAGCCTCCTCGGCCCTAGAACGTCAGGCCCTGCCCGCCTTGGCCACTTGGCCCACGCCCTGTGTGTCACATGCTGCACTTCAGCTGTGTCAACCTGTCTCAGGTCTTCTTTAGGTACACCACGCCGGCTCCTTGCACGTGGGCCCCTTCTGCCGGGAACTCCCCTCCCAACCCTGTTTCCCGGGCTACCTCCCCCCATCCCGGAGGGCCCTGCTTCCCTCCAGGGGGTTTCCTGGGTGGGGAAGGGCCCCGGGCTGGGGAAGCTCCCTCCCTGACGCTCCCCCCTAGAGCAGAGCCTGGCACCAAGTGGGTGCCTGGCAAATATCTGTTGAATGAATAAAGAACTGGACAGATGAATGAATTCCGGGATCCGCCAAAGCACCCTCCTTTCCTTGTTTTTCCCCACAGCCGCTGAGATGGGCCTCTGTCTGCCATGCCCCAGGGCCCGACTGACCGCAGCGGTGAACCCAGGGTGCCCCTGGAGCTGGCAGCCGGACGGCTGATGCATGCAAAGCGGGCATCTCCTTGCCCAACCGCCTGACCACCCTGGCGCGGCTGAATCTGAAAGCTAATGACATTATTGTGCAGAGACACAATGTCTATGGGCATTTGCTGACCCGGGCTTTGGTGCGAGCTTAATCCAGCATTCTCACCCTGCTTTTCGTAGGGACGCAGCTGTCACCCGTCTTGGCACCGGCACTCCTGGGGAAGGTATAAATGCCACCTCCCGCGGACCGGGCTTCACGGGCACTCGCGGGGGCTGGTGTCACTGGTAAGAATGCCTCTCTTGCTTGTCTTGCCTTTTGTTCTCTCGTCCCCATCCCCGTTGGGAACGTGGGGAGACCTGGGTTCAAGGCCGGGTGCTGCAGCTTCCTGACAAGGCGACCTTTGGCAGACTCTTCGGAGCTCTCAGCCTCAGTTTTCTTTTCTCTATAATGGGGAGAGGGATCATAGAACCTCCTCCGTTGCGGGGATTAGAGATAAGGTGCTTGAACCGTCTAGCTCCGTGCCCGGTGGCACACACTCGGCATGTGGGCAGTGCTCTCATTAACACGCAACGGGCCATCGGCTTCCTCGTTTTGCCAGGGACTGGGGGGGAGAATGTGGCAGAGGGGTTTTTGCAAGAGTCAAACCAGTGACAGTTCGGAACCGTTTCTGGGGTGGTGAGTCGTGTCTCTCCATGGCCACAGTTGCGGGGTGCCCACCGAGTGCCCAGCCCCAGGGAGGCTCTAGTGGGTAGGACACGACCTCAGACCTCTGGGAGCTTCCCCCCCGGCAACAGGGGATCAAAGCCATCCACACTCGGTGGCAATGACTCTCTAATGCCACAACCGCCGCCGTTTCCTGGGTGCCGAGTGTGTCCCGGGGTTGCTGCCGGGTGTCTGCGGCTTGCTGCGTGATGTCATGGAACCCTCACGGCCTGTTCACAGGTGTGCTCAGACACCGTCACTGCCCTCGTTTGACGGGACAGGCAGGTGAGGCGCGCGCAGGGCGAGCCTGCGGCCTGCCCAGGGCCCCGATTCTGCCGGGTGGCAGAGCCGGGCCCTGAGCTGGACCGATCGGGCCTCGTCTCCTTTAGTCTGAGAACACCGATGGCTAGGGGACGTCAAGGCAGGACCCCGGGTGCCGCGGCAAGCCCAGAGGGTGGGTTTCCTGGCGCAGGTGGGGGGATGGAGGGAAGCAGGTTGCGCCCAGGCTGCCCAAATGAAGTTCTTCCTTCTGGGGGAGCGTCGGGCCCAGTGTCTCGAGTGCAAGTGGCGACCAACAGGAGGCGGGACGTCACCTTAGGAGAAGCGGGCCGGGTTTCATGTCTTACTCCGGGGGGAAGCAGCCGGGGTCGACGCCCCTTGTCCCGAAGGAAGGCAGAAGAGGCAACTGTGCTTCAGACCTTTCCAGTGTTCCCGCCAGCTAAGGCGGCGTCGCCCTGCCGCCCGGCAGTGCCCGGGCTTCCGCCCTCGTGCCCATTCCTTTGCTTTATCGTCACACGAGTTCCGCGACAGACGAGCCCACAGAGCGGGAGCGAGCCCCTGCCAGGGGTGCAGAGGGGAATTCTGGGTATCGGGGGCACGGCAAGAGGCGTCTGGGGTACGGGGTGGTTGGCGGCGAGGGCCGGGGCTAGGGGGAGCTTTTTGAGCTCCCAGACTGGGAGCCACCATGCCACCATGGATGTTCTGAAATGGGCAGGTCTGTGTAGCGTCGGTTGTCTGAAACAACTCGGCGGTGGGGACCCGCTTGGGACTTCACTTAAGGCTCTGGCTCACCACCCCCTTTTTTGTAGGCCTCGTTGTTCCCTCCCACTGCCCCTGGTCCGGACAGGAAGAGGCGAAGCTGAGGCTGGAAGCTCGGGCTGCTGCTTCTTTACCCCACGAACTGGGGGGAGGGAGCCGGCTTTGGGGCTGCAGGGGAGTGGCCCTGAGGTTCTCACGGCTGTGTCCCTTGTCTTCCAGGTCACTCCTGCACGGGACTGTCCACCATGGCCTCAGACCACCAGACCCAGGCGGGCAAGCCTCAGACCCTCAACCCCAAGGTGGGCACCTCTCAGAGGGAGGGGATGGGCACGCAGCGCTCCTCTCTCAGACTCAGTTTCCCTCCTATAAAGTGGGCGTGGCATTTTCCTTCCCAGGTTGCCCCCTCTGCCCCTGCCCCTCCCTGGGACTCCGTCTCCCCCCACCCCCCGTCCCCACCGCACACGGGGGCTGATGCTGAAGGTCCCGCCCAGCCTGTGCCGCTCCTGCCAGGATTCCCAGCACCAGCTTCCGGCTTTGGGGACTTAAATTTCTCTTCCTCACCTGCTGCCCCACACCGGTGGGGCCTCCCCAGGCCGGGGCAGGCCCTCAGTCTCCGCCAGAGATGGGGCTGGGGAAGGGGAGGAGGGGCATGACTCCCGGCTCCATACCTGCTGTGTGGCCCTGGCCAGTCCCTTGGTCTCTCTGAGCCTCAGTTCCCGCCTCCCTCAGATGTCCCGCCTAGGCTCAGCTCACACCCGGTGTGTGCCCACCCGAGGCCAGGTGACCGTGCCTCCTTTGCTTTCTCATCCTCCTGCCCTTCTGAGGGTGCTGGGATCTTATCCCACTGTCAGAGGCTTGTCACCCCGACCGCCCCCAAACCCCTATCAGCAAGCGCCCACGGGGCTGTGCTTTGGGGGCCCCGGGCTTGGCCTCCCTCTGCCACTGTGCTTTTGTCCGGCCTGGCGCCTCCCTGGCCAGGGGAGCCTGAGCTGATGCAGCCGCCCCTGCTCACGCCCGTCTGTCCCTCCTCACGGGGCTGACTTTCTAGAAGAGACCCAGATAATAAACAGGCAAATGAACATATGAGTTTGAGCAGTGAGAAGTGCTGCAAAGAATAGGCTAAGGGGTTCCGGAGAGTCGGGGGGCGGGCGAGGAATGGTTGTATTAACACAGGTGGAGGAGGTGACATTTGAGCAGAGACTTGAGTCAAGTGAGGGAGCAGCCATGTGAAAATTGGGGACGGGGCACAGTGAGAGGATCCAGACAGAGGGAACAGCAAGTGCAAAGGCCCTGGGGTGGGAAGGAGCCGGGCGAGTTTGAAGAACAGCAAGAAGCACTATCCAACGGGCATATAATGTGAGCCATGCAGGTAGTTTAAAATTTTTCAGTAGCTGTGTTTAAAAAATAAAAAGGAAAAAGAAATAGGGGAAGTTAATTTTCATATTATATTTTATTAAATCGAATACACCCAAAGAACGAGTATTTTAATGCATGATCAATAGAACAATTATCAGGGACATAGTTGGCATTCTTTTTTTTTTTCCATACTAAACCTGCACAATCAGATGTGTACTTTACACTATAGCACATTGTACTTTGGATGAATTACACCTGCTCAACAACCCTTTGCAGCGAATGGCTGCTGCATCGGGCAGTGCAGGTTTAGAGGATTAGAGAGCAAGTAAAATTTTAGCCTCCATCATAAAAACAACGACAAAAGTACTGAGCCCCGGAGCTCTTGGAGGCCCTTCACCCGCATGGAGAGGCCGACCTTCCTCACTGCCCCCACCCTGCAAGCCCTTGTTTCCCGGGCCGGGGTAATAACACACTAGCTCCTAACTTCCATATTCTTGATTCTTCTTGGCAACTCTGAAAAACAGGCATGGTCCCCCATTCTTCAGATGAGGGAGCTGAGGCTCAGAGTCCCCAAGCTGCCTTGCAGGGTTGCAGAGCAGGGAGCTACAGAGCCTTTGTCTGCTGACCCCATCTCCGGCCGGGTCAGTGCCCAGAAAGGCTGAATTGAGCCCATGGAATGTGTCTCTGAGCCCCGCTGGGCACCCCTTTCTCTTCTTTTATGCAGCTAATCCCCGGGCTGGGAGAGAGGGCCGTGTTTATCCAGCCAGTGCTGACCGTGTGGATTCTGCCGCTGCCCCTCCCGGCAGCCTGCTGCCCTCAGCCCATCTCTCACCCAGGGGCAGCTCCCCGGGGAAGAGAGGCTGGAAAAGCTCTGGCCCCCAGATTCTCACTGGAATCCTGAAAGGTGGCAGCTGGTCTCGCAGCGAGCAGGTGGATGTGAGACCCTGGGTGGGTCCCTTCACCTTGCAGAGCTTCGTTTTCCCTGAACGGGGTCCTGCAAGCCCCCCTGCCCCGGGCTGGTGAGAGAACCAGGTGAGGCAGAGGAGTGACATTCCCCTAAGAAGCATCTCAAGGGGGAAGGTCATAGGGAGACCCGTGACAAGCCTGCAGAGGCTTAAATAAAGGGCCCAGGTATGTGTAGTTTTACGGGTGAAATGGAGGTGAGGGGTGTATATGGAGGTATCATTGGTCTGGCTCTAATGTGAGCAGCAGAAGCTCAAATAGTGTGGTCTAGCACCTTGCTACTGCTAATGTGGTCCATGCCACCTTGTCTACTACTAATGTGGATCAATGGCACCAGCACTACCTGGGAGCTGGTTGGAAATGCAGAATATGAAAATGCATCCCTTAAACCTGCTCCCTCAGAAGCCGAATTTACTCAAGATCCTAGGAGCTACGTGCACATGTCCGAGTTTGCAAAGCGCTGCTTCAGTGTCAGCCTCATCCCTCATCAAGAGAGTGCGGGCTCCAATTTCAGCTCCGTCGGGACCTGTAGCCTGTCTCTTAATTCCACCTAATTGTGTTTCCCACAAGCAGAGCAAATGCTATGGGCTAACTGTCGTGCTGCCCTGAACCCTTGTGACAACTCCATGAAGTAGGTTCTGTCTTTAGCTCACGTTTTACAGATGGGGAGATGGAGGCTCAGAGAGGAGACACGCAAGCGGCAGGTCTCCCAGCTGGCAACCGCACAGCGAGGACTAGAGCCTGGTTTTGTGTTTGGTTCGTGGCTCTGAAGGGTGGAACGTTCGAGGCTCTCTGAGCTCCCTCTCCACCCCCACTTCCCTGCTCTCGCTCCTTCTATCACGACGGGGTTTGACTGTCCGTTCCTGTTGCAGATCATCATCTTTGAGCAGGAGAACTTCCAGGGCCACTCCCACGAGCTCAATGGGCCCTGCCCCAACCTGAAGGAGACTGGCGTGGAGAAGGCGGGCTCTGTCCTGGTGCAGTCTGGACCGTGAGTACTTGGCTGGCCTCGCCTGGCCAGGGGCTGCTGGGACGAGGCCATCAGGCCCTGCAGTTGGGTGGATTTGCTGTCACTGTGCTCCTGACTGTGAGATTGGGGGGCCAGAACTTGGGGACTGGCAGCCTGCGGGGAGAATTGGTGCTTTGGAGTCAGGTGGAGCTGCGTTCACACCCTGCTTCTCCCACTTCTGGGCTGTGTGGTGTTGGACCAGGAACGCTCCTCCCTGAGCCTCAGTTTCCTCCCCTGTAGGATAAGGGAACCGTGCCTCTGAGGACAAGGGGAGAGAGAGAGAGAGAGAGCTCATGTGCAAAGCCCAGCACAGAGGTCAGCCTGTTCCTCCCAGCAGGGGCGTGGGCATGGTGACAAGTGCCAGTCTCTGGCCCCAGGGTTGTCCTCACTCTCCCAAGAGCTTGGAGACTGGATGTCCCAGCTCTGTACCCTCCCTTCCAAACCCCTGGTGGTGCTGGCCCTTTACAAATGTAATGTCACGTTTGGGGGCCAGGTCTCTACGCAAGAGAGAACAGGGGAGATGATTGGCTGGCTCACCCCATGCCTCGTAGCTGGGACTTCAGGAAGCCTCCCACACGTGTGGCTCCCTGGCTACCCCTCCTCCATAAGAGCCCCAGGGAGCAGGGCTGTTCTCTGGTGGCCTCAACCCAGCAGATCAGCGAGTCCGGTAGCCGGGGACCCTAGGGTCACCCGCCCCACGCTGCAAGATTCTCAGGGAATTTTGCAGACTGCAATGCCCACCTGGGTCAGAGCGTGCAGACGCGCAGAACCCAGCTGAAGGAACAGCCTTGCCGAGCCTCAGTTCTCTGACGGGCTCAGAGAATCCATCGCCCCTAAAAACATGCCTCTCGGGGTAACGGAAGAGCTGATCCTTCAAGGCCTACACCTGATTTTCAGTTGTCTTTTAAAATATTTTGATGTAAGAATCTCCCAAATGTATTTTGCACTCCTCTGCTTTTCAAAAATGTATGTAACTTTTGGTAGTTTTATTAATTATTGTTTAAAATTAAGAAGATATGATTTGGGGCAAAAAATATGAATATAGTCTTATTACTAAGAAGTAACTATTCTTAAGATTTTGGTCTCAATCTGGATTTTTCTCTGTGTGTATAAATATATTTATACATTCTTTTTCAAACTCGGACTATGCTATCCAAAAGATTGTATAACTCATTTCGAACATTCACAAATGTCGTGAATTCTCTCCATGTGATTAAATAGCGTTTTAGGTTGGTGATTTTCAGAGTGGTTCAAGGTCCACCTGCCTCAGAATCACAGGCGGGAGATGCTTTATATTCAGGTTCTTGGGTCCCACCCCAGCCCCGCTAAATTAAACTCTTGGTTCTAGAGCCCAGGAATCTGCATTTATTAACAAGCTCACCCAATGGCAGTTACACCCAGTTAAGTCTGAGAACCCATGTCCTGTATAATGATTTATCATGGCTTTGTAACATTTCCTGATTGGATATGCCTTAATTCATTTAACCTGGCCGTGACGGTTGGCTGTTTAAGTTGCTCCAACTATTTGATGTTGTAAACAAAACCTCGATGAACACACTTACTCGGGTATCTGTGAGCTCTTGACAATCATTTTCTAAGGACACGTCGCCTAAAGCAGAATCACTGGGTCAAAACTAAACACTCTCCTAAGACAGGACAATAAACACCACCTCCTCTCTCATTAGTGGTTTATGGTATTGCCCTGAGCGGCGATTATTGTACCGTGCCGAAATGTCTGCCTCTGCACCTAATGGCCCCAGAATGCTAGGCATTTTAGGGTTTGTGCCTTCTTTTTGCTATTTGATGTTTTCCTCTATCAGCCATGCCCTGCTGATAATAAGCTAATCGTCCCCCCTTTAGTGTACTGCTTCTCCTCTATCGTGGACCTAAAAGACTGTATGAGTTTTGTGTAAAGTATGAGTCAAGAGACTAACAGCAGGAACAAGAGAGGAGATAGATCCCAAGAGAGGGGCTGGTATGAATAAAGTGCATGAGCTTCAGACGCAGCGGTGGTCTTGACTCAGTTCTCGCAGGTAGAAGCTGACGGTGCACATCTCTCCCCAAACCCAGTCTCACCGGTGTTGCGCTGATGGCCTGACAGCTGCCATGGCGGGAGCATTTACACCATGGAAATTGGCAGATGCTACAAATCAGGATTGTTTTTTTTTTTTTTTTTTGAGAGCTGGCTATTAATTCACCAGCATACTATTATTAGCATTCGTGCATGGGGTCTATATTCTGATATGTGTTGCTGGGCGGTCTTTGGGACTTCTTTCTTATTTCGTAATGGTGTCCCAGATGGTTGAAGGCAGCATAGCACTGAGTTCTGGAGAGCTAAGGTGACCCTGCACCTGGATTTGCTGCGTCTGAATTTAGAGGGGAGCTGCTCCTCCTGGCTGGGCTAGGCAAAAGTGAATCCTGGGGCCACAGTGAGCAGCCACAGCTCTGCCAGGGGAAACTCGGAGCGGGACTGACCTGCCCCCTCTCTCTCCGTCTCCCTTGCAGCTGGGTGGGCTATGAGCAAGCCAACTGCAAGGGCGAGCAGTTTGTGTTTGAGAAGGGCGAGTACCCCCGTTGGGACTCGTGGACCAGCAGCCGGAGGACGGACTCCCTCAGCTCCCTGAGGCCCATCAAAGTGGTGAGCCCCCGCCTGTCCCCTCCTTCCTCTCTTTGCCACCTCGGAGCCAGAGGTCCAGGGACCAGGGCGTTGTGCCGCTTCTGACTGGCAAAGGATCTCCTCGATGCGTGACCTCGCAAATGTCATTTTACTTCCCTCGGCCTCAGCTTCTTTATCTGCAAAATGGGCACGTTTAGTATCCACTGTCCTGAGATTCCAACGTGCTTAACTTGAGGGTTGTCACGCTGCACAACTCCAGGGGGCGCTGTTCATATTCTATTCTATGCGAGGGGTGCTCCCAGGGCTGTGCAACTCCTATCACAAAGTAATTGCTCAAGAAACGATAACCATTGTAAATATTAAAAGAAATTCTAGGTTTGGGAGTGGAGGAAACAGTGCTTTATTTATTTATTTATTTACTTATTTAGAGACAGAGTCTCACTTTGTTGCCCAGGCAAGAGTGACTGCCATGGCATCAGCCTAGCTCACAGCAGCCTCAAACTCCTGGGCTCAAGCAATCCTCCTGCCTCAGCCTCCCGAGTAGCTGGGACTACAGGCATGCGCCACCATGCCCGGCTAATTTTTTCTATATATATCAGTTGGCCAATTAATTTCTTTCTGTTTATAGTAGAGACGGGGTTTCGCTCTTGCTCAGGCTGGTTTCGAAGGAAACATTGCTTGAGCTCTTATTCAAGACCAGCGTGAGCTTTCAGTGTTTCTCGAGTCCTGATTCTTAATAGTGTGCAAATTCTCAGGAAGGGGAAGGGCCCGGCAATGCTCGGTTACAGCCCCAAATCTACGGAGCCTGATCTAGTTCCTCCCAGAACTTGACGGAAGATCGGAGAACACTGGAGTTAGCATCCCACAGATTTGGATTCATAATGCTGGCTCTGCTAGTCCCAGCTGTGTGACCCTGGGCAAGTCACTTTACCTCTCTGGGCCTCATGTTCCATCTTCCAAATAGACGAGTCTTCTCATCTTCCAAATGGCACATGGGTTGTTTACAGGATGAAATGAGACACCCAAGATAAATGTCTTAGGAACAGGGGAATGGGACGAGACGTGGAGATAAAGGAAAACCCAAATATCTCAAGTGCCTACTAGAGGCACAGTAAGAGAGAGAGAGAGAGAGAGTGTGTGTGTGTGTGTGTGTGTGTGTGTGTGTGTGTGTCGTGGGTGGGTGACTGGGTGGGCAGATCACAGCTGCCATTTATAAAAGAGGAAGCTGAGGCCGTGGGAGGGAACATGACATTTCAGAGTCAAATATTCCCCAAAGTGTAGACTATTAGAGTCTACGTGACGTGAAAGCGGCCCAGTAGGAACTCAGCCAATGGTCACTGTCCAGCGACAGCTGCCGGGGACACGTGGTAGGTGTGCCGGGCAGGGGGTCACGGGGGGGAGCGTGCAGATCCCACCTCCGGGGCCCCTCACCTCCCCCCCCCCCATCCCCTGTCAACAGGACAGCCAAGAGCACAAGATCATCCTCTACGAAAACCCCAACTTCACGGGAAAGAAGATGGAAATCATAGACGACGACGTGCCCAGTTTCCACGCCCACGGCTACCAGGAGAAGGTGTCGTCCGTGCGGGTGCAGAGCGGCACGTAAGTGCAGCCCCGCCCCGCCCCGCCTCTGCCCGCAGGCTCTGGGGTCCCCAGGGGTCCTGCTCCGCCCTGAGCTCGCTGGTGATCTTGCACGTGCCACCGTGCCCTCCCGCCCCCGGTCCTCCCGTTGCAAAGCGGGCGGGAGTCACCAGCTCACGTGGGTGGGGCTCGCAGCCCCCCCGAGGTGCACGCGCAGAGCTGCATTCGGGGCAGTGCCCTGCTCTTGGGGCACAGAGACCTCGGCCTCAGCGTCAGCCCCAGGGAGAGGGCAGGATGTGTAGCCGGGTGCGTCGGGGAGGGCGGTGTGAGGCAGAGGGGACATCGGGTCGCCGCAGAAAGGTGGGATGAGCCGAGTGGCCTTAGCAAAGCCGAGAGAGGCAGGCGTCCAGCCCGCATGAGTCTAGACCGCGTGAGTTCCTGAGTTTGGAAACAAGGGGGGTCATTTTTCACTGAATGGCCCTTCTTAGACACATAGACCTTGGCCCATCAGCAGTGAGGGATTTCTCGGCGTGAAAACCGTGCATTTCCCCGGGGTCCACCGGTGCAGGGCTGTGCAGGAGCCGGCCCGTGCCAGCTCGTGAGAGGCGACTCTTGAATTTTCAGAATTGTTGCGAGCTGGTTGATTCATCATCGGCAGCTTGCAGTCAGCCACGGCGGGAGCATTTACACCACGGGAATTGGCAAACACTAAAAACCAGGGCTTCCTCTCTCCAAGAAAGCCGGTTTAACCACGCACACTGGCTTCTCGGGGTTTTTCGGGCCCTAAAATACTGTGCCGAGTTCCATGTCCAGGTGCCCCTTCATTCACTCGTTAATCCACCCACTGATTTAATTTGTCCAGTACCGCCCTGTGCCAGGCACTGTGCCAGGTGCTGAGTGTGTGAAGAGAGATTAACCGAGACTTGCCTTGTGTAGCCGACAGTCTAGAGGGGCAACTGTTAGTAATCTAAGGGTCCACACAAAGCTACTTCCTTGCCTCTCACGCCGAGGTCTCTAGGAAGAGTAGGAATTGCCGGGAGCCAAGAGGGCAAGGAAGAGCAGCCCAGGAAGGGAGACCAGCACGTGCAAAGGCCCTGTGGCAGGAGCGGCCTGCTGAGTCTGAGGGCCTCGGTGGCTGGGGTGCAGAGATGTAAGGGCACCAGAGCTGGGCGGGTCCACAGAGGCTGGCCAGGCAGGTCCTCGCAGGCCAGGGCCATGCGATGCTTTCTGGGAAGAAGATCACAACTGTCATCAGATGCTTCAAGGAGGGCATGACAGAAGGCCCCTAGGATCCCCTCCGACACTCCTCTGGCCGTGCAGGGGGCGGGCGTGGGGTGGGACGGGAGCAGACAGAGGAGGTTAGGAGGCCCGTCTCGTCCGAAGCTCCAGTGGGCTTAAGATCGCTCCTTGTTCTGGCCTCGCTACCAGGCCTCCGGCCGAAATCTGCTTCGGGAGGTAGTGAGCTCCCCGTCGAGAGGAGGAGGGAAGCAGAGGCTTGATGTTAGACGGGCGGGGTGGGAGGGGGTCCAGCTCAGCCCTCAGGGAGTGCGCAGCGGCCGGGGGGCTCCGACATCCCCCCGGTGGCTCATGGGTGCTCCTTCCCTCCTCCCCGCTCTTCCCTCCCCGCCTCTGTCCCGCAGGTGGGTGGGCTACCAGTACCCCGGCTACCGCGGGCTGCAGTACCTGCTGGAGAAGGGAGACTACAAGGACAGCAGCGACTTTGGGGCCCCCCACCCCCAAGTGCAGTCCGTGCGCCGCATCCGCGACATGCAGTGGCACCAGCGAGGCGCCTTCCACCCCTCCAACTAGCGCCCCTCCCCGCCCCTCCCGCCCAGGAGCCAGGCCTGCTGCCCGGGCCCCCTCCAGAGTGAATAAAGTGTGACTTGCAACTCTCGTGCCTCGGTGGGTCTTTTATGCCCAGCGGGAGCTGGGGCGTGTGTGTGTGTGTGTGTGTGTGTGTGAGAGAGACAGAGAGACAGAGACGGGGACAGAGACGCAGAGAGAATCAGCGAGTATCTGGGCACGGGGCAGGGCAACGGGATCACTCTGAAGCTATTTGCTGTGTGACCTTGGACACACCGCCCAACCTCTCTGAGCCTCTATTTCTTCGCCTGACTTACCATTCTCGTGCCCCCGCCCCTAACCCCCCGAGTGGCTGACTTAACTGAGCTCCCGGGCTCCCTCTTGCATGCCATCCCCATAGCATTGCATCATCACCCGGAGTCTGGATTTTTTTTTTTTTTTTAAGATATCAGAGAAGCCAAGAACCCTGAACCCCTGCCCACCCGGGACTGGGAAGAGATCATAGCTGCACGCGTGTGTATCCGTGTGGCCCTTGGCCCCTTCGTTCGTCATTTGGTCGGGGACAACTGCTAACGACTTAAGAATCAATCCACACACACGTCTCAGCTACTTCCTCCAGGACGAGGGTCTTGAGCTCAGAGAACCCTGGGCGTGGCCAGGCTGGAGGGGACCCAGTCACGTGGGGGTGAAGGTTGGGTCCCCAAGTGTGACAGGTCTGGGTTCACGTGGCTCTTTCTGGGCATTGGCCAGGCACGTCGTTTGACTTCTCGGAGCCTTGGTGTTTCTACTGGGGAAATGGGAGAAAAATAGTTGCCCCCCTAACAGGGTTGCGGCGAGAATGAAACGGGCTTATCCCAACATTCTGTCTCTAGAAGGATCTTTTGTTGGTTACATGTAGTGCACCCACCTGCTCCCAGGCACAGCTGGTTTCCACTCTGTTTTGGGTATTCTTTGATGTTGTTTTAAATCTTAATGTAGCCAAACAACAATCTTTTTTTCCTTTATGGCTTATGCCTTCCATGTCTTCCTTAAGAAATTCCACCCCCAGGTCATGCATATATGCTCCAATATTTTATTTTTCCTAAACGGTTTAAAGTTTTGCTCTTCACATTTAAGTTCTTAATCTTTTTGGAGCTGATGTTTGTGTATGGTGTACCTCAGGGATCCGATTTCTTTTTTTTTTTTTTTTTTGAGACAGAGTCTCGCTTTGTTGCCCAGGCTAGAGTGAGTGCCGTGGCGTCAGCCTAGCTCACAGCAACCTCAAACTCCTGGGCTCAAGCAATCCTCCTGCCTCAGCCTCCCGAGTAGCTGGGACTACAGGCATGCGCCACCATGCCCGGCTCATTTTTTCTATATATATATTAGTTGGCCAATTAATTTCTTTCTATTTATAGTAGAGACGGGGTCTCGATCTTGCTCAGGCTGGTTTCGAACTCCTGACCTCAAGTGATCCTCCCGCCTCGGCCTCCCAGAGTGCTAGGATTACAGGCGCGAGCCACCGTGCCCGGCCCAATTTCTTTTTTGAGTGCTTTTTTTCACTCTGGACGACTGTTGTCCTAGAAAAAATGAAGGAGGCCTCTATTTTCTCTGTGGTACAATGTCACCCCTTCATTTATTACATTCCCCACACACATGGGGTCTGTTTGGGGGATTTATGGGATCTCTTTTCCGTTCCTATGGTCTCTCTGAGTATCTCTGCAGTCTTGCCACATTGCGTCCATGTCTATTGCTGTTTAATGAGTCCTGAGGTCTCCTAAACCGATACTCTTCTTCAGGAATGTTCTAGAGATTCTTGCCCCTTTTACACCTCCATTTAGAGACACCCCCTTACATTTAGAGAAGAAAAAAATGGAAAACCTTGTCGAACGAGCTAAAGTGGTTGCAGTGATTATCATGAAGGTGAGAACTAATAGGTGCTCAATTAATATCATTGTCGTACGCTTCTTAATTCATTCTTCATGCAACACTTATTGAGCGCCTACGTTACTCCCGCAACTGGCAAGCTCCCGCTCTGGGGAATTGTGCTAGCTTGAGAGTAGAGCCACGGTGATTATTATGGGCTGGATGCAAATGTGTATGTTCAAGTCCTAACACCCTAGTTCCTTGGAGTGTGACCTTATGTGGGAATTGAGTCATTACAGATGTAAGGGGTTAAATGAAGATGAGATCGTGCTGGAACAAGGTGTGCCCCTCGTCTGATATGACTGGTGTCCGTATGAAAAGGGACATTTGGAGACACACACACACACACACACAAGGGAGCATGCCATAAGAAGACGAAGATCAGGCTGATGCTTCTCCAAGCCAAGGAATGCCAAAGATTGCCAGCCACGCACGAGAAGCTTTGGGGTGGGCATGGAGAAGACCCCCCTCCCATGCCTCGGTGGGAGCCGACACTGTCACACCTTGACTTTGAACTTCTAGCCACCAGAACTACGAGACAATACATTTCTATTGTGTCAGCCGCTTGGTTTGTGGTGCTTTGTTTTGGCTGCCCCAGCAAACCAACCCAGTGATGGCGAGAGGATGGTGTCGTGGGGACCCCGGAGGAAGGGAGGGCTCGGTCAAGGCAGGCCTCCCAAAGAACTGGGGTCTTGAAAGAAGAGTTGGAATCTGCCAGGTGACTCTTGGGGAAAACAAGGATCTCGTCAAAGGGAGCAGAGCACATAAGCGAGAAAGGATGGTCTTTCCGGTGCTCCAGGTGAGGTGGCTAATTTAGGACATAGACACCCCGGAGGGTTGGCTGAGTGCAAGGTTCTGAGAAACTGGGAACGACGATTACGATGGTGTGTACAGGGGACAGGTGGCACCAAGAAAGGGAGTCTAATTATATACTGCTACGTAACAACCCACCCCAAACTTAGCGGCAAAACCGCAACGATCATTTGCTTTGCTCACGAATCTGTGATTTGGGCGGGACTCAGTGCAGACAGCTCGTGTTTGCTCCAAACGGCCGTAGAGGGTGGCTCAGAGGCTGGGGCGAGTCACCCGGCCGGGTGTTGATGCTGGCTGCCGGCTGGGACCGCAGCCGCGGCTGTCACGCAGGCTGCCTGCACGCGGGTGCTCCGTGCCACTGTTTGGCGTCCTCGCAGCTTGGTGGCAGGATTCTAAGAGTGTCCCAGGAGAAAGGTGGAAGCTTTTCATGGGCATTTTGATGACCTAGGCTTGCAAAGCACATCGTGTCACTTCTCCCTCACGCTAGTGGAAGAGGCAGTGGTCACAGCGGTGTGCCCAGGTCCAAGGGCAGGAGACAAGGCCCCTGCCAACGCGGAGAAGGGCAACGTGTGGGACGAGATATGCTATGGCAGCCATTTTCACAGAAGACCCGTGCCATGTGGTCAGGGGGACAGCAGGGATGGGTGTCCTGGGGCAGCGGGTCCACGGGTCCAGGCAGGACACCCTCTCTTTCTCTCAGGGCTGGATTGTTCTCTGTTTCTCTCTGCCCTCCCCTCCTCCTCCCCTCCCCCCTTTCTTGCTCTGCCTATTTCTCCCTCCTCCTCTCCTCTCCTTCTTTTCCCACTCCTCCTCTCTTCTCCCTCCTCCCCTCCCTCCTCCTCTCCCCTCCTTCTTTTCCCACTCCTCCTCTCTTCTCACTCCTCCCCTCCCTCCTCTTCTCCTCTCCTTCTTTTCCCACTCCTCCTCTCTTCTCCCTCCTCCCCTCCCTCCTCCTCTCCCCTCCTTTTCCCACTCCTCTCCTCTCCTCCCCTCTTTCTTGCTCTGCCCATTTCTTCCTCCTCCCTTCCCTCCTCCTCTCCTCTCCCCCTACCTCCTCCTTTCCCTTCCTTCCCTACCTCCTCCTCTCCCCTCCTCTCCTCCCTCCTCCCCTCCCTTCTCCTCTCCCCTCCTTCCTCCTCTCCTCCCCCTTCCCCCTCCTTTCCCTCTTCCTCTCTTTCTCCCCTCCCTCGTCCCTTCCTTCTCCTCTCTCCTCTCCCTCCCTCCTCCTTCCCTTTTTCCTACTCCTCTCTCCCCTCCTCTCCTCCCTCTCCCCTCCCTCTCCTCCCCTCCTCCCTCCCTCTCTTTCTTCTCCTTCCCTCTCCTTCCCTTCCCTCCTCCTCCTCTCCTGTCCTCTCCTCTCCTCCTCCTCCTTCCCCTGTTCCTCTCCCCTCCCCGTCCGTCCTCTCTCCCTCCTGCTCATCCCTCCTTCCCCTCTCGCCCTCTCTTGCTCTGCCTACCTCTCCCTCCTCCTTTCCCCTCCTCCTATCCCTCCTCCTCTCCCTCCTCCCCTTCCCTCGAGTCCTCCCTTGCTCTGCCCACCTCTCCCTCCTCCCCACCGCTCACCGTGGACAGCTCCCTCCTCCCACTCTCCCTAAGACCCAGCCCTCGGCTCCCTCTCGCCCTCAAGGCGCCACGTCCCCTTCTGACCACCAGGTGGCAGCAAAGCGCCAGCAAAGGGTCAGCCTCAGGGCTCCCGGCTCCGCCCCCTGCGCCGCTGCTGTTCTGATTGGAGGCGAGCGCCATCAGTCACAGCGGGGCTGCCGGCAGGGGCGGGCCTCCGGGGTCGGGTCTCTTCCGCAGCTTTCCTTTCCAGAGCTTGATGGGAGAGGAAGTTAAGACACATCCCGCAAGGATACTTTGCCTTGGGAAAGCGCTTCCAAAGCACCTTGTCACCCAGGATGTCACTGGAAACCATACAGCAAAGCCCCTGTTCTGCCACTGAACCATCTGACCAAAAAAAAAAAAAAAATCACTCCGTGCCTCAGTTTCCCCCAATATGGTGCCAATCATAGAATTACAGCGAAGAGTCATGAGATGACGCCTGCGGAGTGTTGAGGGCAGAGCCAGGCGCCCCGCCAGGCCTCAGTAGTGAGCACAGTGTGAGGGTGCTGAGTGGGAGGCGGGCAGGCCAGGGAAGGCTCCCTGGAGGAGGCGGCTTGGATTTTGTAGGAGGAGCAGGAGTTCGTCTGATGCATCCAGGTGGAAGCGCCTTCCAGGTGTTCACTCACCAATTCACTGATCCGCTCCTGTCAAAAGACAAAGTCACAACAAATGTAAAGATCTGAATCCGCTTTTATTTGTGAGTCTAGACCAGGGCCAGGCCTCGCTGTGTTCCCAGGAGCCGAGCAGACGGGGTTGGCTTATAGACAGGAC